TGCTGTGAGGTGATTGTGCTACCCACTGTGCCACCATGCTGCTCCATGTTGAGCATTTTTTAAAGATTATTATTATTATTATTAATATTATTTAAAAACAGAAAATACAGTATGAACAATGTACAATACATAGAGCTTTACAGTACAGGCAATAACAATGAATAAATCAATCAATACTAAATAAAGGGCAGACATACATCATAGCTAAATATTGTAGTTTATTTAGAAATGTACACAGGTGCGTATATACTACTTCAAACTGTTTTCCGACATCTCACGATATAAATGAATATATAAACAAATACACAGTTTACACTAAACTGGTGAAAAATATGCACTGATACAGTTTTATTATATATGGTATACATGGTTTGGTTTATTTTGATAGGTTAACTGTTTTTGTGCGTTTTAGCACTCCTTAGCACGTTCAGAAATCGAGAGATCACTTCACATACATTTCTTCCACTCGCCTCTTATGTCTTTCTTTTTCTTTTCCTTTTCCTTCGCATACACACATATAAAATTAGAATTGAATTGGTTCCTGTCATGGCAAAGTTAAATTGTCAAAGGCCATTCAGTTTTACATGATCATTTTGGGATCATGATTACATGCCGGTTTGTCTCATCATTTAAATTATTATATTGAAAACAATTGTGCTGTTTGATATTTTTGTATGTAAGGATATACAGTATTGTGGTTCAAACTTTTCATTAAACTTGTCCTACACTGTAAACCCTTATGTTGTCTTTACATAAACAATTGAGTAAAGTTGACTGAACATAACTTTAGCAAAATTTAGCATTTTGGTCCTATTACTTAAAAATATGAGTTAATTTAACTTATGTACCATGAAATGCATAAACTTAAGATTTCAAGTGTAGTGAGCTCAAAATCATAATTAATCCTTTGAAAAAAAAGCTTATTTTCACAAATGTAGTATTGACTGTAAAATTCTAATATGTGCAACCTTAAGTGCTTGGTCTTTTTTTTTAAATCAGAAAACAAATGGCTTCAGGTATAATTATTCATCTTAATTTGAATAAATGGCAACTTATTTTTTTGTTTAAACTGTATTTAAACATTTTTTCATAGTATATTATTACACACACTGAAAACTCTAAGTTGACTGAACCTAATAATTGAGTAAACTCATTGCCTCAATTTAATTGAGTAATGGAGTCACCTAAAACTTGCATATTTAAGTTTTTTTAACTTGCCGGTTTTGTAGACTATACATACATTGTTACTTAAATATGCAAGTTTTAGGAGACTCCGTTACTCAATTAAATTAAGGCAACGAGTTTACTCAATCAATTTAGTTTAGTCAACTTATTAGTGTTTTCAGTGTACAACTATTGAACATTACACATTTTTGTCTTTTTTGATTCACTTCAAATGTTGACAACTATACGTGTTATTTTGTAGATTTTTTTTGAGCCCATTGTAATCATTTTTTTATTAATGACTGATGTTTTATTACATGAATGTTTTAACAGTAAAACATTTGAGAAATTAGTAAAACTGTGAGTGAATATATATATATATATATATATATATATATATATATATATATATATATAGTTTTACTGTGAACATATATAAAAAACTATAAAGTGTTTAAATTGAAGCATAACAAGAAAATATACGTATAAAAAATCTAATAATTATTGCTTCTAAATATAGATTTTATCTTTTTACTGTAAATTTTATTGTCCCCTTTTGGGGCAATTAATTATGCATCATTGTAGATTTACAACACATATCAGACCACACACTTCGGATAAACATTAAACAACATTTATAGTACTAAAAACAGCAACTACCTCTTTCCATTAAAATTCAGCAAATTGATCGCACAAGGAACAAATGAAAATTTAAATCTGTTGGTCCCTGCCAAAGGGACCCAATATCGAGATCCTGATATATCAGATGGAATCTGATGGGCTTCCTTTAACATCTGGCTTTCATACAAATAGGATAACCCTGGGATTTTTTCCCTTAATACTTTGCTGCAGGTATTTAAAACACTAGACAGCAAGTTCTTGTTTTATTATTGAAACCTCCATTCAAATTGGACAATTGGACTTTTCCATTAATAAACATTCTTATATAAGATAAAAATATTGTGTGAAGAAACTCAAAAATCTAATCCTAATCCACTATCCCAGTGAGTCATATAGGATGGGAATTGAAATGTACCAACTTTTATTTAATAGCAATAGAAGTCAAGAGGAAGTCATCATTTAGATAATTGGTTAAACGTGTGTGCAAAAAGGTTTCTGTACATGTCGAGACGCAAAAGGTAGGCCACTGCCCTCTCTAATTTTAAAGAAGCAAAGTTGATGCTCCTCATTAACCTGCTGCTCTGTCTGATTCCTCCACACCATTGTTTCGGCCATCTGTAGCTGACTCACTTCAGCTTTTTACTAATTAACAGGCTCTGATCCTCTTGCCAGTTTTGCTGACTTTACTTTTGCGTATTAATTCAGAACACTTTCTACTTGCAGAACTGGAAAAGCTTTGGATTTGTTTGGTCCTTAAAGGTCCTGTGAAGTGCTTTCAAATGTGTATTTTTTAACTTAATGTTTGAGGTAATCTCAACTGAAACACAAAGTGAGCGTGTGCCATCGAGTAGCTCATCCCCTTCAAAAAAACCCCCCCAAAAAAACAGCCAGTGTTTCATTTTTATCACAGCTCTGCCAAGTGAGAGTTGTTAAGATCAAGCGCATCAACTGAAAAGCGAATGAGAGGCAACTTTGAGGAGGCACGGCATGTGAAATACTACAGAGCATTTAATTGGTCAAGATTTGAATAGAAACTGAAGTATGATCCATTTAGGTGGAAGTGACACACTGGAAGCTGTTGATGTTCATATTAAGTCTTCATATCATCAATATGTTTTATATTTTCTACACATGAAATTTGTCAGTGTTTTGTAGCACACTAACTGATAGATATCTTTAAAACTAACAGACTAAAATTAACATAAAACTGTTTTCACTGGACCTTTAAGTTTATAAAGGAGTCACAGGGATGATTTTATGTCTGACCAAAAAGTAGCTCATGTCCAAACAAATCTTTACACACTAATTAAATGTTTAAATTTTTGATTGTTAGTGTGTAGTCATGAGTAAATATATGTTTTAAATGGTTATTTATTTATTTATTTATTTATTTATTTATTTATTTATTTATTTATGTATGTATGTATGTATGTATGTATGTATGTATGTATGTATGTATGTATGTATGTATGTATGTATGTATGTATGTATGTATGTATGTATGTATGTATGTATGTATGTATGTATGTATGTATGTATGTATGTATGTATGTATGTATGTATGTATTTATTAATGTATTAATTAATTAATTTATTTCTGTATTTATTAATTTACTTATTTATTCTTTTACTCATTGAATTATTAATTAATGTATTTATTTATTTATTGACTTTTTTATTTATTTGCTTGATTTATTTGTCTGTCTGTCTGTCTGTCTGTCTTTCTGTCTGTTTATTTGTTTATTTATTTATTTATTTACACATTTATTTGTGTCTGTTTGTCTGCCTGTTTATTTACCTGTCCAGGAACTGCAGCTAGAAAATAGCAACTTTGCTAGAGCCCTTGCACAAAAATATTTCCTTTCGAGGTCAATGTATTGTTGTGCATGTTCTTGGCAAAATAAGCATATTTCTATTCAGAAATGGGTAAAATCAGGTGGCTGACACTGTCAGAGTCTCAGATGAAGAGAATTCGATCCTGTTATTAGTGTGACAAATCTCTTTTCTTGTCTCACCTAAAAGTGGCTTATGACTTCTGGAAGTGACCCCCAAATCAAAACTCATTGCTAAGAATTTTTTTCTCACTTCTTTGCATTCTAGTGTCTGAAAGCGTTTGCTGGTCAAATTGTAACGGTCAGTGTTTATGAAACTGTTCTTTAGAGAAGTCGAAGTGTGTGGGTGGCTCTTTTCTCCACATGCTCTGCTATTTACCTCACGTCCTCCATTTTGTGGCTGTCAGAGAACAGCAGGGGAACATGTACGACAGCTTTTCAGAATGTGAATAAGAGTTTACAGTCAGCGACACAGATACTGTAAGAACTTGCATTTTTAGTCATTGTGTCAGATGTGTTTTTAAAGATCGAGTGTTCTTGAGTGTCAGTGTTTGAGGTCAAAATGATGTTGGTTTTAGATGTTGGCTCGACATTAGATTTTGGTCACTTTCCAACACAACCTAAAATCAACCAAATGTCAATGTCATAATGTCAGTATTAGACGTGAAAATAAAGTTGTCCTTAGACGCTGACATTGAATTTTGGTCACCTGACGTCACAACCTAATCACTGAAAAAAGTGTTGCATGCAGAACTGTTGCAAACAATTTATTTGTGTTGAATTTAAGCAAACTAATTAAGTTTATTAATGTTTAACTTAATTTGTTTGTTTAAACTCAGCCCGAAAATAAATAGTTTACAACCACTTAACGTAAAACAAATTTGAGTAAATCCAAGTAATCACTTTTGAATATTTTTTTTTCAGTGTAATATTTATGTCTTATGATGTTGTATGCATTCTGGGTATTGAAAATAAACTTTAAAAGGAAACTGATTGAATTTTTACAGAAATGGTACTATATCACAATATATATCATTATCAGGATATGAGATAACTTATGCTCTCCTTAACCAGTTCCAAAATGGGGTTTTCACAGTCATCCCATATAAAAGAACCATTTTAGTTTCCACATTGAAAAAACCTTTCAGTGAAGAATATTTAAAAGCAATCTGAAGAAGCTGTTTAGTACTGTAAATAACCTTTTGAAGAAAGGTTCCACTGATGATAAAGTGTCTTTATGGAACCATTGATGCAGGTAAAGAACTGTATAACAGTGTGTTTTAACTGTCTGATTCCGTCCATGTTTACACCCCTTAGCAATTAGAAGTTTTTCAAGGAGGATTTACTAGAATCTAATCCCAGTCTGTATTTGTGTGGTTCCAGGACAATAGTGCCATGGAAAATGTTCCGGCAGTGCCTTCACGACGTGCACCCCATCAGCTCGGGGTTGGAGGCCATGGCTCTGAAATCCACCATCGACCTCACCTGCAATGACTACATCTCTGTTTTTGAGTTTGACATCTTCACTCGTCTTTTTCAGGTAACAACCTGTCACTTGGATTAAATCTCTTTTCAAAAACTCATGTTAAAAACAACACTGGTGGCTGTTTTGTGAACTACAGAAAGCAACTTGCTTGAGATTTGCACTCATCTACATGTAACATACAAGAACATGAACATGATACCCAGATACACTCATGGCAAAGTAATTGTGAGAAGTAGAAAAATGGAAATGTCTTTTTCCTGTGATAAACTGATAACAAACATCCAGATACCAAATAAAACTAAATATAGGCTTTAAGAAGTGTGTAAAAGTGCCACATCCTCCACAAAAAAAGTCAATCTACAGGCTTTATAAGACAATCTAAGTCACAGAAGATCTCGTTTTTATAGTTTTTGGATTGATCAGTGAAAATTATTACACATTGCGCCTTCAAATGTCAGCTGCCTTCTGCCAATGTTAATAATGAAAGTGATAGCAAAGGATCACCCTTGTTTTTTCCACTCTGTCTCCAGCGTGGGTTGATTTACTCATTCTGAGGAGAAACCTTGTGCATAAATGTCCCATAGATAACCACGATTAATTCGAACACATCAAAAGCGTGTTTTATAACATTGCGTCTAATGGAAAAACAGCGCTAACACTGGGGATCACCTCTGTGAAGGAGTGTAGAGTAGGAGGTTTGTATTACGCAGAGGAATCCCTTAGTTTGAAAAACTTACTTCATCTTTAACCACAACACACATGTTTTTATAAACCTGAGCTTGCACAAGCCTTGTTACGCACCGGCTGCAAAACACCCACTTTTTTTCCTGCCTACGTTCTGCTGCAAAAATACTAATATTCCCATAAATGTGCTGGAAGGACCCACACTGGTTCATTAGCAAAGATTTGTTTATATGTGAGTCAATCAATGAGCAATATGGAGTTTATATCTCACGCTGCGCTTCCAATAGTCATGTGACAGTTGCTAGCTGAATCACTACTCATGACCCCCGTTACTTAACAGCCAAAGCCAACAAAACTACACCCTGCTCATTTGAACATCCAAACTTCTTTGGCCTCTTTGTAGCTCTGCTAAAGATTTTTGGAGGCTGCTTAAGTCAGTTTGCTTCTATAGGAGAAAGAAATGGCACTAAGATTAGTGTTTTTCCACTTGTTCACAGTATCAGGAGGCCTAGATATTTTGGGTTTCGTTTCTTTAGAGTGGAACAGTAGATCACTCTAAAATGTCTGCTTTTTCATTTGTTCAGTGTACCTGCTTGTTTACAAGAAATGTATAATAAAGTATATTTTATAAAATATACCTAAGGGAATGTGTTAAAAGGCATATTTGTGTGCAAAAATGAAAATTCTGTCATCATTTCTCTATGAATTTCATTCTTTGATGAAACACACAAGATATTTTGAAGTACATGCGCTCTTAAAACAGATGTGTTAAAAACAACTCATCCCGTGTTATTTCTTAAACAGCTATGTGTCTAGTTAAAGACAACATGTTTTGTGTTACTTTTAACTCAACAAGTGTGCTATCCTTCTTAACAGAGACAGTGTGTTAAATAATTTAGCATGCAGATGTGTCCTAAATTACTCAGTTTGTCATAAATGTTCTTTATTTGACCATCTTAACAAGATTAATGCAATACTAAAAACATTTAATACATATATATTAATTAAAACATGACTTCAGCATTTAAGTACATTTCTTTGGAATTATTATCATAAAGACATAAAAAAACATGTTTACAAAAAGGAAACTCATATTTAGACACAAAAACACAAGCCTTTACGAAGAGTGGTGTGTGTACAAACTGTTCACCTATCTTTTTCATACCTTTATCAGTTTCAAAATTACATAAGATGTTAAAATAGCCATAACAGAATAAATGTGTTATTATTTAACACCAAAAATGTTTTAATATATATATATATATATATATATATATATATATATATATATATATATATATATATATATATATATATATATATATACATTTTTAACTTTGAGGAAAACCATAGGTCTCAAACTCAATTCCTGAAGGGCCGAAACTCTGTACAGTTTTGCTGCTTCAACCTAATCAAACACAGCTGATCTAACTAATCAAGGTGTTCAACACTACTGGAGTCAATTAAGCAGGTGTGAGTTGGAGGTGGTTGGAACTAACTTATGCAGAGCTGCGGCCCTCCAGGAATTGAGTTTGAGACCATTAGGGTACGTCGACATTGTTTTCAAAATAATCTTTTATAAAAGTTCAAAAGTCTTCTAATAACCCACAGTAACACTCATGGATTTTGAGTATAAATTTGTATTTTAAATGAGTTTACTTTCAGCAGTTAAAGTATCACTTAGTGTTGTTGTGTGTCCAACTAAGCCTACACTGTAAAAAAAATGCTTTTAATGTTTGGTTGCCAGTAATTCTGTCAAATTTACAAGCATACTGTAAAACCAAAGCATAGTTGTAATTGCTAATTTACAGTGCGCTTGTAAATTTTGCCAGTAATACTGTAAATTTAGCCAGTAATACTGTAAATTTAGCCTGTGATACTGTAAATTTAGCCAATGATACTGTAAATTTAGCATGTAATACTGTAAATTTAGCCAGTGATACTGTAAATTTAGCAAGTTATACTGTAAATTTAGCAAGTAATACTGTAAATTTAGCAAGTTATACTGTAAATTTAGCAAGCTATACTGTAAATTTAGCAAGTAATACTGTGAAAAATAGCAAGTAATACTGTGAAAAATAGCTAGTAATACTGTAAAATTTACAAGTGCACTGTAAATTAATAATTACAATTGTGCTGTAAAACTACAACAAAAATGTAATTGTTAATTTACAGTGCACTAGTAAATTTTACTAGTAAATGCCAGTAATACTGTACATTTTACAGCATTTTTTTGCATAATAGTTTTATGTGTTATTATGAGATTATTTCATCATCTAGGGGTGGGAAAGTTACAGTCCTGCATAGTTTTAACTCCAGCCATACACACATGAACAAGTTAATCAATGTCTGAGTGTTACTAGAAAGCAACAGGTAGATGAGTAAAGACTGGATCAAAACTCTGTAGGACTGCAGCTCTTCTTGCCTACTGCTGATCCAGGAGGTCTCCGATGTTAAAAATGAACCATGCACAACACAACCCAGCCACACTTCTTTCTCAGAGCTATTTGCTTTTAAAATAATTTGTCATTATTTACTTCATAACCCCACTAACTCTCTCTATCTCTGTTTCTCACCTCTTCCCTATAGCCATGGGGCTCGATCCTGAGAAACTGGAACTTCCTAGCAGTCACACATCCAGGCTACATGGCCTTCCTGACATATGATGAAGTGAAGGCACGTCTGCAGAAGTACATCAACAAACCTGGCAGGTACAGACTAGTCTGCGTCTGTGTGTGTGTGTGTACGGCTGTAATAGACATACCATCTGTTATGGGCCAGCCAGCTGTTTTTCTCCAGTCTGGCAGACTACCCCGCTTTGCTTGGGAAAGTGGGCAAGGCGGAGATGTTCGTTTATTACAGGAGGCTCTTTGTCTGCGCATCAGCACTCGCAAAACCCCTTGTTTGTCATTTAGCAGAGGTTTTAGTTTTTTCGGATGTAAGATCAACGTAACTGGGAAATGAACTCCTGACCTTTTGCGTTGGCAGGCTGAACTGGTACGCCAAGGTGCCGCAGGGAGACAGTGGTAGTTAAATCCAGTCTGTTTGGATTAGCTGATTAGAGAAACAGCATCGCATCTGTGCCGAAAAACAACACAGAGTTCCAGAGCCAGACGGCAGGCGCGATTACACACTGGTTAGAGTCATTTAACACAACAGCCAGATAATAGCCAGGCCATAAAATGCGCAACTTTATGGGAAAGGAGTCCCCCAGTTGATTTGCAGCTAGAAGAAGAGCTACAGTATTGCTTTAGATAAGTGGTGCATACATGTTTGCATAAAATGGACAGTATTTTGTAAATTATAACAAATAGGAAATATACACTCACCGGCCACTTTATTAGGTACACCTTACTAATACCGAGTTGGACCCCCTTTTGCCTTCAGATTCAACATAGATTCAACAAGGGACTAGAAAAAATCCTCAGAGATTTTGGTCCATATTGACATCACACAGTTGCTGCAGATTTGTCGGCCGCACATCCATGAATGTCCCGTTCCACCACAACATAAAGGTGCTCTATTGGATTGAGAACTGGTGAGTGTGGAGGCCATATGAGTACAGTGAACTCATTGTCATTTTCAAGAAACCAGTCTAGGATGAGTGGCACTTAATGATATGTCATTCTATGTAAATCCTTGAGATGGTTGTACAAGAAAATCCCACTAGATCAGCAGTTTCTGAAATACTCACCAGCCCGTCTGGCACCAACAACCATGTCACATTCATTCATTCATTCATTCATTCATTCATTTTCTTGTCAGCTTAGTCCCTTTATTAATCCGGGGTCGCCACAGTAGAATGAACCACCAACTTATCCAGCACGTTTTTATGCAGCGGATGCCCTTCCAGCCGCAACCCATCTTTGGGAAACATGCCACAATCAAAGTCGCGTAAATCACCTTTCTTCCCCATACTGATGCTCAGTTTGAACTGCAGCAGATCGTCCTGACCATGTCTACATGCCTAAATGCATTGAGTTGTTTTAATGTGATTGGCTGATTAGAAATTTGAGTTAGCGAGTTGTTGGACCTAATAAAGTTGTACCTAATAAAGTGGCCGGTGATTGTATATACAGTGTGTATATATAAGTAAATAAATTAAATACATTTAACCAAGTATTCAGTTTTTTATTTAAAAAAAGTTATTTTTGGAGTAATGTTTTAATTCAAATACATTTTAAAGTTTGCATAACATTTAATTAAATAAAAAGTTGTTCTAGATGATAATTTAAATAATAATTTAGGTACAGTGTTAGTGTGAAATAAATATTTTTTATTTAATCTTTAAACTATCGCATATTTTCTTATACAGTACAAAGTGGTTTTTACATATGTAAGATAGTTAAATTGTTCAATTTCAGGCAGTGGGTCATCACATTTGAGATTTCATACCTCTATAGCCCCTTCATTAGATACAGTTCACACAATAAAACTTTCAGCTAGATGCTTTTAGATGGGCTTTTTTGAAGAGCTGGATGGATGGGGCTAAACAAACAGAAGGAAGTGGAGGACGGTGGGTGGTCGAGCAGAACTGTATGCAAATACCAGTGTATGAAGAGGAGCAGCAGCTGTGTGTGTGTGTGTGTGTGTGTGTGTGTGTGTGTATGGTTAGAGAAGGTCACGGTGGCACCCAAGGGGACTCTGTGTTTCACGCCGAGTTTCCTCCTGCAACAGTCACCTGGCAAAATCAAGCTTTTGACACAGCGGATGTCATATTCATGTCTGTTTATATCAGGGCAGGGTGACACCAGAAGCAGGGCTCATTAGTGCGGAAACACACACTCGCTGCCTCAGTGGTCACAGCAGCTCAGAGCTTTTTATGATCTGTGTGTGTTTGCAGAGACTCTGGGGGTGTTGTGACTTGGCTTGCTTCTCTAGCTCTTATAATGCATTTGGGTTCAGTTTGGCTTGGAAGAGATTCATACAACATTAAAAGGTTTCAGTGAGGGAATAAAACTTTGCTAATTATTTATTAATTCAGGGAATTTAGTTAGTAAATGGATTTCTTATGATTATTGAATCTATACAGTACTGTATGTGACCCTGACAACAAAACCAGTCTAATGTTGCATGTGTATATTTTTGGCAGTAGCTAAGAATACATTGCGTGTCAAATTTAGTTATTTTTTTAATGCCAAAAATAATTAGAATATAAAGTTTATGTTCCATAAATATATTTTGTAAATAACCTAGTTTTTGTAATTATATCAAAACCTTATAGTTGGATTTTGCCCAAATTTTGTGTGATCCTAACCTACTATATCAATAGACAGATTATTTATTGCACTTTGCTGTGATGTTTATTCTCTATTTCCCAAAAAAATATGACACTTACGGTTTTGTGGTCTTTATTTACATTTACCGGCCACTTTATTAGGAACACCTTACTAGTCTTGGGCCCATTCCACCAGATCCCAAACGTGCTCTATTGGATGGAGATCTGGTGACTGTGGAGGCCATTTGAGTACAGTGAACTCATTGTCATGTTAAAGAAACCAGTCTGAGATGATTCGCGCTTTATGACAAGGCGCGTTATCCTGCTGGAAGTAGCCATCAGAAGATGGGTACACTGTAGTCATAAAGAGATGGACATGGTCAACAACAATACTGGGGTAGGGTGTGGCGTACCAATTCTAAATTGGTACTAATGGGCCCAAGAAAATATCCCCCACACCATTACACCACCACCACCAGCCTGAAATGTTGATGCAAGGCAGAATGGATCTATGCTTTCATGTTGTTGACACCAAATTCTGAACCTACCATCCAAATGTCTTAGCAAGAAATCGAGAATTATCAGACCAGGCAACGTTTTTCCAATCTTCTATTGTCCAATTTTGGTAAATCTGTGCAAATTGTAGCCTCAGTTTCCTGTTCTTAACTGACAGGAATAGCTCCTCTGCCTCAAGGTTGGACATGTTGTGCTTTCAGATGTGCTCTTTTGCAGGTTGTAACGAGAGGTTATTTGAGTTACTGTTGCCTTTCTATCAACTGGAACCACCGGCCATTCTCCTCTGACCTCTGGCATCAACAAAGCATTTGTGCCCACAGAACTTGCGCTCACTGGATAATTTCTCTTTTTCAGGCAGTTCTCTGTAAACCATAGTAATGGTTGTGTGTGAAAATCCCGGTAGTTTCTGAAATACTCAGACCTGCCCATCTGGCACCAACAACCATGCCACATTCAAAGTCACTTAAATCACGTTTCTTCCCCATTCTGATGCTTGGTTTGAACTGCAGCAGATCGTCTTGACCATGTCTACATGCCTTAATGCTTTGAGCTGCTGCCATGAGATTAGCTGATTAGAAATTTGCATTAACAATCAGTTGGGTGTACTTAATAAAGAGGCCGGCGAGTGTACTAAAAAAAAGCTAATTATTTATTTTTCATCAATAGGTTGATGCTGTTCACAGAACCAGTGAGTGATTATTCATGAATCAAATTGATTCACTTTATTGCTTCAGCTCCATGGAGTCAAAGACCAGTTCACAGTGGTTAAACAGCTCACTGGATGGGAAGATTATTGCTGAAAAACGACTGTCGCATGACTTCAGAGGATTATTATAAGTCATATGGCCCACTTAGCGATACTTAAAAAAAAAACTTCAAATAGCATAAGGAAAGGCACTTTTAGTAAAAAAAAAGATGGTAACAGGTCTCATTTTAAATGAGAGAAGAAAGAGAGTGACAGATAGGTAATGATCTGACACTTGAGGTGAAAGAGTGTTAACAAGAGCACTGAGACTGTACAATTTTTTTCCCCCTGTGCGTGAAAAGAGCCACGTCCAGCGTGAAAGTAGCACACTGGTGCATTATGGGATTAATCACATTTAACACAGAGAGCTCCATTCATCCCCAGCAGCTGCATTAGAAATAACTCTAATGTAATCAAGAAATCCGACAACAATCCCTTACATGACCTTCTCCCATGATGATTCAGTTTATGCAGTTTCATGTCTCAAAATAGTCACTCAGAAATGGCAGAAAGATCCTTTTTATGTTCCAGCGACACATTTTACATCATTACATGTACTTATTTTGCTCTTTTCTAGCCTTCTAACATTTGCAGATATGTAAATAAAATGCTAATTTGTGTTTAATTTACACACCCAGGGTCTACTTTTCTTCAGTAGATCAGTAAAGATGTTTTTTCCTTAGATGAAAGAGTGTGTATTAATGGATTTGATTGTTTTGCTTCGTAAGGCCACTGTGTTTTAAATATTACATTTGTTTTGCCTGTACAGTATGTGTTTCTTTTACACTGTTAGCTGTCAACTTGGATTTTATGATTTAAGACTTACCACAATTTTGGCTAAATCTTATTTAATTCTTATGTACAGTTCAAATTGAGTACCCTTTCGTCATGTTCATGGCTGTTTTTGCCCCATTCACTTCCATTATAATGACATTTTCAAAGCCATGACAACAAACAATCATGCATTCTTGACTGTTGGTGTTTTTGTCAAACTTTTCATTTTTACTGTCAAGCAAAACGTTTCTGGTTTTTATATGGAGTTCTGTATAGTAAAACAGCAGATTATAGTGTCTGTGCTTAAATACACTTACTATGTTTACTATGTTCTGAGAGCTGAGCTGCTTATTTATTTTTATTTTTTTCAAACATATCAAGCTAAGTGCGCAATGGTCTCTCTCACACACACTATACTTCATAAAACCATATAATTTTTTATCTGAAACTAAGCTTTTTTTTCCACTACAACTGATGATCAACAGTAAAGATTAAGTAAATAAGCAAATTTACTACCTCCCACCAGGTAAAACCAGCAACAATCAAGAATGCATGATTATGGTGTCATAGATTTGCAATCAAAATAATTTCATTATAATGAAAGTCAATGGGGCAAAAACAACCACGAACACAACTAAAGGGTAGTAAATTTGCCAAGTGTGTATTGTTAAAATTTTGAAAAATTTCAAAGTGCTTTTTCAAAATATGTGTCAGAAAAGGGTTGTCACCAAACATTGCTGAATTTGCTGAAACTTTTGGCCAAATTAAGACTCAAAATCACCCCAAACAGAGTGTATGAAAACATCCCCAACAGCACATAAAGGATAATGTTCTATGGAAGAAAAAAATGTATGTACATATTGCATGGCTTTAGGGTAGTTAAAATACATTTCCAGTTTTAAGTGAACTATACTGTACCTTTAATTGTGTGACCTCAAATTAAAAAGACAGCATTTACCAGTGCAAACCAAAACATTCACTAAACTTTTCCACCTTCTGCTGAGAAATGTCAACCTGTTCTCCTTCTATTCCTCTGTCAGCTTCTGTTTTTTTTTATACTCTTTCTTTTTCTCCCTTCCTCTGTGCCAGCCTGTGCCACCCTGCCTCTGGGAAAATAGAAAGGTTCAGTCTGGTACCAGCTAGTCTTTTAATCCAGGCTGAGTTTGTTGTTCAGCAGTTGCATAATCGAAAAGGAGCTTTTGAATAACTCCAGAAATATAATTTTTTGTTCCTTACTTACTTTCGATAGTAGGTAAATGGTAATGTAAATGGTTCATATGGTTCTGTTTTTCTCTCCAAGCTTTTGATTGTTTCATAATTGCAGTTATAATATATCAAAACAATTATCAGTTCTTAGTTTATAATCAAAATAAAACATTTATTTAACGTTAACTTACTGTTGTAAATTTACATAACCTTATTTGTGCTTAGTAATGTGATGTTAATCTGTTTTGGTATGAGTTATGAGCAATTCCAGCTTTATGGATGGGACATTTGTAATAAAATCTCAAACATTAATTCAATTAGACCGTATATGTTAACATTACAGTGAAACATCTGTTTATATTATCTAAAACAACTAACCACAGAGTTATAGGATTATAAAAATATCAATCTGTAAACTTTTTTTTATGTTTTAAATGATTCAAATAAACACGCGTTATGGATGTGACAGAAAAAGTCTGTGAGTTTACAGTAAACAACATACTTTGTCGAAATTCTGTCAATTAAACTGCACAGCCCAACAGATATAATGCTAATCAAAAGAATAAGAGTTGGCTCAATATAAAACTATTATACTAAATTTTATTTTATTTAATATTTTTGCATTTATGAGGGATAAAAGCATCATTTTGCAATTGATTTACTCTTAGGTGACAGTTTCTGTTTCTTTTTCCCCAGCTACATCTTTAGACTGAGTTGCACGCGGTTAGGCCAGTGGGCCATTGGCTATGTCACTAGTGATGGAAACATCCTGCAGACCATCCCACATAATAAACCACTGTTCCAAGCGCTCATCGATGGATGCAGAGAAGGATTGTGAGTAGCTCAGATTCAACACTTTAAGAAATGTCACAGCAGTGGCATAGTGGTTGGTGCATGCAAGTCTCAGTTCTCTCTTTTCTCCTCATCTCTCCGTTCAATCATCTTAACACTTCCTTTATTATTGTCATTTTTAGATTTAGATTTAATATCTAAATGCACTTTTAAGGCTTAATATTATTATATTATAATAAACACTAACATGCCTACTTGCTGTGAATTTGCTTTGAAATTAGGTTTATTGTAAAAAGCGATAGAGAAGTAAATCTGACTTATCTTTTATAAAAAACAATGCGGTTGTCACAGTTCATTTAGAGAGATTTGTTACAGTAGTTTCAGTCTATTTCAGTAATAATTTGATTCAAAGTGGTCTGAAAAGTATAGATAACCAATACAGTTTGGTTTGTAAGTTTAGCACTACTCTATTTTAAATTAAATGCTTAAAAAAATTATTAAATGTATAAATATTTTTAAGACTCTAATTTTTCTCTCTCAAACACACGCACGCACGCACGCACGCACACACGCACACACGCACACACACACACACACACACACACACACACACACACACACACACACACACACACACACACACAAACGATTTTTGCTATTTGTTCAATTTGCTTAATTAAATTGAGCTGAAACAATAAATTTCTCTATTTTTTTGGGTGAACAACTTAATTGTTTTATGTTTAATCCACTTACATTTGTAAAAACTAATAAGCTAACTTTATTTCTTCATGTTGTCCAAACATAAATTGACAATCAATTAAAACTAATTCTTCATTACTAAAACGTAATCAGAGTAGTTGGCGGTTCATTTCACTGTGGTGACCCCTAATTAGTCAGGGACTAAGTAGAAGAAAATAAGGTGAGCAAAATATTATTAAAAGAGGTAAAAATTACACAGACATTCTTTTATTAATTATTTATATAATTATTTCAAATAATAGTTTTAATGAATGTATTAATGGATGATTCAATTCAATTCAGTTCAGTTCAGTTCAGTTCAGTTCATCAAATCAAATCAATTAAAATCAAATTAAATCAAATCAAAAAATCAATTAAGTTCAGTTCAAATCAAATCAAATCAAATCAATTATAAAAAAATCAAATAAAAAATCAGTTCAGTTCAGTTAAATTCAGTTCAAATAAAATCAATTAAAATCAAATCAAATAAAAAAATGAGTTCAGTGCAATTCAGTTCAGTTCAGTTCAGTTCAAATCAAATCAATTAAAATCAAATCAAATTTAATCAAATCAAATCAAATAAAAAAAACTCAGTTCAGTTCAGTTAAATTCAAGTCAGTTTAAATAAAATCAAATCAACTAAAATCAAACCAAATAAAAACATCTATTTAGTTCAGGTCAAATCAATTAAAATCAAATCAAATAAAAAATCAGCTCTATTCAATACAATTCAATTCAATTCAGATAAATTAAAATCAAGTCAAGTCAATTTAATCCGATTCAAACAATCACCATATAGTCATTCAGTGGCTAAAGCCTGGTTTATACTTCTGCGTCAAGTGATCGGCGTGACTCATGGCGCATGCAACGCGTGTAGCTGTGCGTTTCTGTTGCTCTGCAATAACACTTCCGAAATGCTAGTTGGCAGTGAGATGTTTATGTTCCTCTGTGTCGAGTTTCTTCATTGGTGTTTAGTTTTTTCTGAACGCTTCCTTAATGTACAAGTGGTACAAACTCGCTCATTTGAGGCAGGAACTGGCGGACGTGCAACAACTTTAATCATGAGGTAAACACAAAGCAAAAGTTTCCATCTGGAGCTCCTTCACGGGACTACACACTTGTAAACAATTGCTCCATCAGGCTCGTGCGGCTCTCGGTCCCCCCCCACACTCATCAGCGCTACCAAGTCGACCAATCATAGAGCCTGCGCTACGTGTCGTTGCGACGTGTAGTTAAATTTTTTGAAAGTGCGCGTCAGCGACGCCGACAGCCACAGTGAGTGCTATGCGTCCACGCGTAGGCCGCGCTGTAGCATACGCGTGCGCTTGACGCACAAGTATAAATCAGCCTTAATATAATTATTATCTACATGAGCTTTCAGTGGTGCATTACATTAATTCATTCATTTTCGGCTTAGTCCCTTCATTAATCAGGGGTCGCCACAGCGGAAGGTACCATCAACTTATCAAGCTCATCTTTTACGCAGCGGATGCCCTTCCAGCCCTAACCTAACATAGGGAAACACCCACACATACTCTTGCACACACACTCACATAAACTACAGCCAATTTAGCTTATTTAATCCACCTATACAACATGTCTTTGGGAAACCGGAGCACCCAGAGGAATCCCATGTGAACATGGGGAGAACATGCAAACTGACCTAGCTGTGCTCGAACCAGCGACCTTCTTTCTGTGGGGCGATTGTGCTACCCACTGCGCCACCATGCTGCCGGTGCATTACAATTTTTTTTATATTTACTATGCTTACTTCAGTGGCCAAAGATGTGGTTCTGGCACTCCTGTGTCCAAATCTGTTAATTTTTCTCCCATTTCCCTGGAATCAATTCCCATAATTCTTTTTGAGAAGCTTCCAATTAGCTCAATATGTCCTGATAAACTGGCAGTCACTCTTGTAAACAAATGTACAAACACACACACACATACACACTTGCACACACATGCCCCCCCCCCCATCCCCCCCTCAGTGTTGGCAGGTGTCTTGCTGGCATGCCTTTTTGAGGCGTCATTTACAGGTTTTAGCTGCATGTCTCTGTCACTGTCGCCATTTCAGCTGTCTCTGAACCACATCACACTGACTTTGTGGCTCCGTCTCTTCACGACCCAGTGCCACATGCCAATCTCACACCATCTGAGCTGTATCACGCTAGCCAGTCACTTCAGATAATAAATCTGCTGTGCTTTCATATTGCTAGTTTATGTTAAATAAGCTGCAAACAAAAAAAACAGTGAAGTACTTTTCACATGCAAAAGAAACACACAAACACCCATAATAACCACTTAACAGCTCCATTTAAAGGGATGGGTTACCCAAAATGAAAATTCCTTCACCATTTACTCACATTAAGTGGTTCTAAACTTTTATGAATTTCTTTCTTTCACTGAACACAAAACAAGATATTCTGCAAATGTTGAAAAAAGCCAGCCATAGACATCTATAAAGGGAAGGAACAAAAATACTATGAGTCAATCACTGCTTTCCTTTATGTTCTGTGTAGGCAAGACACTCAAACAGGTTTTTAACAAGTGGAGGATACATTTTGTGTGAACTATCCCTTTAACACAGGGATTCTCAAATGGTTCAGTGACAGGACTCACATTTTGCTATGATGCAATTTTGACTAAATTCCTAAAAAAGAGAGAGAAAAATAGAAACAAATAAGCAAATTTACTTCACAATAAAGGTTGACACACACATGCACATGCTCCAAATACACTCAATACATTGAACGATTTAAAAAGTTAGTAAGTTGCCATGTATGAGCTGCCAAAATAATAAAAATATACAAAACAACACAAATTGAAATATAAAAATAACTTAAGAGGTCTGTTACCACTACATAATTTAATATTGTAATTTAACAATATTGTAACTTAAAAAAATCAAAAATGCTGATTAGATTAAATCTTTTAAATTGCCAGAATAATTTTATTAAGTTTTCAAAACAGGAAAATATTGATAAATACATCAATTTAAAAATGCAGCTAATTTAAAGATAAATATATCTGTCAGTTACTTTAAAACAATATTTAACTTGTAGTAACCCAAAGAAATTGAGTTGATAATTCACACTAATGGAGTTGTTTTGTATTTTTAAGTCCACACACTGATGCTTTTTGTTATTTTTTAAAATACTGGTAATATGGCACAGTACATGTTTTTGTTCTGTAAAACAATGAAAACCTGTGGTTTAATACAAATAAAAAATTACAGAAAAACAAAAATGGTTTTGTTAAATGTATTTCTTACAAGTATAAACTGTAAATTTGAAAACAAACAAAAAATTAACTTGAAAACGTGCATGTAATTAAGTACATAACACTGGATTTGTTTTAAATTTTAATTTAAAAACTAATTGAAACAACTTGTTGTTTTGGGTACTCAACCTTAAAATATGAGGTTTTTGCTACATAAAAATGCCTCTGATTAAAGAGGAAAACATAATAAAGTTTGTTGTATGAACTTCATTTTGTTAGATGTTGTCGTAACTTCAATATATTAATGCAAACTGTTGCGTTATTTTTTTTTGTTTTGTCTAAACAATATTTATTAAGTGTATTTTGGGGTTACAGGAAAAGCATTTATAAATAGAAATGAGATAAATACCCAATAAATACCCAACACCAGCATGACTACCTAATGACATATGGAAACTGCTCCTGATAAATTGAAACAACCCAATACTTGCACTCAAAAAGAACTCACTAGATGAACTCAATTTAATTGAGGGCTGGATTTGCATCAAATAAATTTGTTTAGCACCAACTAAAAAAAAACTGTTTACATAATTAGGTGCAACTGAGCTGGCTCAACATGATTTCATCAAATAAAAGATTAAATACATTAGTATTTTTATTTAACTTACACTCAAAGGTCTGATAACATCATATATGTCTGTTATGTGTTATACATTTCAAAGTCTCTTTGTTTTATTTGTAGTTACCCTGAATGAACGAAAAGAGCCATTTTAAGCATATTTCAAGACTTCCATATACAGTTGATTGAGACTGAGTTCAGAACTCATTTTAGGACAGTTATTGCTCATTGAGCAAAGCAACAAACTGCATTTTTGCTAATTAAGCTGCTAACACCCAAAGCATGACTGCCTTTGCAATGTGGTAACCTCAAAACTTAAAGAATTACATGACAATCTTCCAAACCTTTAAACTTAAGTGAAGATAAAACTCTAAGTCTTTCTATTAATTTTAAACACCTAACATTTACAAAACCTTTTATTGTCAACATTTCCTTCTTACCACGCCAATACAACTCCAAAACCTAACCAGGTAATTGGACCAACACAATTCCTTCATGTTGTCCCAACACAAAACACTTAAATTAACTTAATGGTTTACTAGTTTAAGTGGACTGAACATACAACACATAAAGTAGCCAAACAATTACAAGAATTGTGTTGTTTCAGCTCATTTTAAACAGGCAGTTTGAACAAGCAGCAGTAATAATTTTTTAATGTGTGCTTGCAAATTATTTCTAGTTAGTACCAGTTAGGATATCATTTTTACATTTTTGCTTACTAATTTACAGTATAACTCTAAAAATTGCATGCTCATCATTCAATTTTCTGCTTTATTCATAGTGAATTAATAATTACAGTGTTCCACTGTGTTATGCATGCAATTGACAAGTCTGGAACGTTTGTTTTTCTGAGGTGAGAGAAATGGTTTTACTAAATGTCACCATGACCTTTTCTTACCCATTTAGAACAACACATTGATGTCAGGAACTCATTTGTTTGCATGTCTTTTAAAATACATTCAAGTCACAAAACTTTCCAACCTCAAACTGACCAGTTGAGAAGGACATATTTCACTGTGTTAAAACCCATCAAATTGGATTCTGTGCTCAAAATAAAACCCAAAAAAGCCTGCATAAAGTGTGCAGATCCTATTTGGCCTTCTCCCTTTTCCTCATCTGATTGCTCCGGCCGAGAAGTTTGAGTCCCGCTGTAAGACATCAGCTGTGATTGGCTGGACTGTGGAAGTGGCCCACTTTCACAGCACCACTAATGGAGAAACCACAGAGCCAACAACCACACATGAAGAGAAGCCTCTTAACCTCACTTTCTTTCTGCTGTCTTTCTCTCCGTCTGCAGTTATCTGTTTCCAGACGGGCGCAGTTATAACCCTGATCTCACAGGCCTGTGTGAACCCACTCCGCACGACCACATTAAGGTCACGCAGGTTAGTAACTGATGCACGTTTAGATAGAATGTTAGTCTGATTCTCATTTGCATCTTTGTCGTCTGTTTTTAATCCGTTTTTTTGGTCTGTTCAGGAGCAGTATGAGTTGTACTGTGAGATGGGCTCTACGTTTCAACTTTGCAAGATATGTGCTGAAAATGATAAAGATGTTAAGATAGAGCCATGTGGTCACCTCATGTGCACTTCCTGTTTGACATCATGGCAGGTATGTATAAACTGTAAGAGTTTTATGCTTTAGTAGTGGGTTTGAATTATGAACTATCATAGTTCAGGAGTGTATATTTCTATATTTAGCACTTTAAGGATATAAATGTTGGTCAGTGTTTTTCCTGATTGTTGTGAAAAAATTAGTTCACATTTTTGGGGATTTACCCAGCTACTTTGAAGTCTTATTCCAGGACTAGAAGTTTGTGTATCTTAAATAAGCACAATTGAATAATATTCAGAAATGCAAAACAATTAATAGGCTTTCGCTAGATATACTGTATGTTTTATATTTATGTGTTTGAGAAAAATTATTTTTGTTTTATTATTTAAACAACTGATAAATCGCTAATAAAAATGTAATATAGAGCATATCTGCTCTGCATAAGTAAGAAAAAAGGCACCCCAGCAGGCACAGGGCATAAACATGGCGTCAGATTGACGTTATCTCCCAACGTCATGGGTACGTTGCATTTTGTTTGGAAATAAAAATTGGGTTGACATCAGAACTAGTGTTGTGATTGCCAGTGCGGTTGTCTCCGCTGGCTAGCACTTTCGATTTTCGATTGACAGCGGGGTTTCCAATATGGGAGACTAACGGTGAGCGGACTCCAACTCCCAGAAACCCCTGCGGTCATCAACACTGACAACAGCTAAACAATACTCAGCACGTGTGTGGAACAGAGGGGTAGAAATAGTCCAAATAATCAGTGTGTGAGCAGCTTCAGCTGTGAGTTTGTAATCAGTCTGAATCTGGAACTGGTTGTGTATGTGCCATGACTGGGTGTTGTAGTCCATAACATGGCAGATTTGTAGTTCATGTGAGAATGAATGTTTACCAGCGATCTCTAGTGGTTAGATCGTTGGTAATCATGACAACTAGGGCTGTGCGATTTGGCGAAAATAACTAATTGCATTTAATTTTATTTATTTTATGACAGATATTGAGATTTCGATTTGATTTACGATTTAAGTTTGTATACTTGCTTCAGCTCAATAACCTGTATAATAGCTTCTTACTGCTGAAATGTAGGAAGTGTTGGTTAAAAAAGGAACTGAAAAGATATTAACTTACTTAAACATTTATTCAAATGTATTATTTAATATTTAGAAATGAAACTCATTGTTCCCTATAGCAAACAGTTAACACAAATAAAAGGGCCTCACCTTTCTGTAAAAAAGTTTTAACTCAAATTAGGTAGATAGTGTAGCTTATTATACAAAAAAAAAAATTATTATTATAAAAATACAGAACACTGAGCAAGCTAAAATGGCTAAAGCAACTTTGAAAATGTATTTGGCTGTTGCTTGCTACTAGACTGAGTGTCACTGGGAATACTTTCAGTTGACTTTTTACCTAGACACTCATCTCACTCAATTGGCTAGTAAGATTATCATACACAAATGGCAGTCAGGCATTTGCTCTGGGCAGGGGAAAATAGTTAAATTATTTAAATAAATAATACAAATATATTTTAGATTGCAGCCCCTTGCAATTAGCTACTCATAACAATTAAAATTGTGATTCGATTTCGATTAGTCACACAGCCTTAGTCAGAACTCAACTTTAGGCTCACATCTACGTCCAACCTAAAATTAACCAAATATCGACGTCTAATGATGTTTCAGCTTGACATTGTATGGACGTTACCACTATGACGTTTATCAGACGTTGGATTTTAGATGCCATACCTGACAAATAAATGTCAAATAAATTGGATTTTGGTCACTTTTCAACACAACCTAAAATCAATCAAATATCAATATCATTATTAGATGTTGAAATAACGTTTTCTTTAGATGCTAACTAAACATAACATTTTGGTCACCTGATGTCATGACCTAAATCTAGCTTAATATTGATGTCTTATGACGTTGTGTGTGTGCTGGGGATGTTTAGATTTAGTTGTTTTGATACAATACAAAACTAATGATTCACATTTTTCAGCACAAATTTTATTTTCTCTATTTGTCAGTTTCTTGGAGCACGTGTACATTTAAAATATAGCATTTAAAATCCCCAAAGTAAAAAACTGTACATGGCAACAAAAGAAACTTTAAAAAATTTATTTACTATAATGTTGTGTTAAGAAATTATCATGATTCATCATGATGTCACACTCTGCTGCGTTGCTAATGCTAAAACAACTAAACATTACACATATGCCATCAGCGCACTGCGGCACCTTCTCAGCGCTCATGCATGAAACAAACATGTCTTATTTGCATGTGCAATGATGAAGCTCTGCATCTCGTGTAAACGCTTCAGTGATGCCCAGCGCTCAGCTAATGGATCTAGTTAAAAGTGCTTTAATGGCATGCTATGACCTGAATACTGAGCGCCATTGGGGCTCCGCAGAGAACAAACAGCAGGTAATCTGTCTCCCCGTCGCCCTTGCGTTTGTCCTGATCACAAATGCGAGTGGACAGGCGAAGGAACGGCAGGAAAAATGTGTCCTGTCTGGCTGCATTTATCATTTTTGTGTGTATTAATGTGTGTCAGGGTTTAATTGTGATTGAGGATGTTTATATGGGTGATTTTAGGGTGACGTTATGCATGTGGGGTGATTTGTTTATGTGTTTACAATTTAAGTACCGGATGAATTGCCGGGAAAGGTTCATATCTGGGGTGTTGTCCGAACATCAGAGCTTGTTGTATGATAAACAGATACTTAAGGGTCACTGTAGGGTCAGATAAACCCGGATGCCTCAGCCAGATGCATGCTGTGTATGTTTTTTGTTGCTTGATAAAGGGAACTTTACTCAATGTATGTATATTCTTGATTGCTGTTCATGTGGATGCCCAGAGTCGTACCTGTTTCTCTCACAGGTTGTATTCTACCATTCTTTACAATGGTACTACTTAGATATTTAAGGAGAATGTAGTGCTGTATTTGTGTTTAGTGAGTTTTGTTCTGTTGGATGCTTGAGTTTCCCCCCCACTTTGCAGGGATCTGCTAATATCTAGGTTTCTGCGAGACTTTATTTCAGATTTATTCTCATTGAACTTGTGTTCTTCGCTGTGTGAACATTGAAAAGGAGTGCTCAAGATAATTAAATTCTGAAGAGCACTTCATCAAAACATTACAGTGCCCCCCCCAAAGAAGTCCTTTCAAAATTAGAAATATTTGAATGGCGCTACTTTAAAAAGCCCGTTCACGCAAAACATGAAAATTTACTCAGTATTTAATCACGCCTCAAGTCAAACCTTTTGAGGTTTTTATTCTACTGAATGCAAATAAAAGATATTTTGAAAAAAAAAAATGCTAGCAATGAGTAACTATTGACTGACATAGTTGAAAATTAAATACTATTGAAGTCCTTCTCAAAAGTGACACAGATGGCCTGTAAGTGAACTGAAGCCAGCAACTGCTCATGATGACACTCCTGCACGTGTAACATAAAAAAGTCTGAACATAACTATAAGTACACTGTTTACAAAGTATGTTTGATACTATGTACTATATGATCTATAGGATAGAATATATAGCTCACCAAAAAAAGTGTACTGAGACCTAATTGAAGAGCTGGTTCAAACCTCGGCTGGGTCAGTTGCCATTTCTGCGTGAAGTTTGCATGTTCTTCCTGTGTTCACGTGGGTTTCCTCCGGGTGCTCCGGTTGCCCCCACAAGTCCAAAGACATGTGGTAACAGGTGAATTGTGCATGCTAAAAAAAAATAATAATAAAAAATATATTTGTTGACAGTGCTTTACCAACTATTTTAAACCGAGAGAGAGAGAGGGAAAACATTATGTAGCAGTTTAGGAAAATTAATTCACGCGCCCTGCTGATGTGACTTGCGATGCGCCTTCGCTGTTTGCAATGCATTAAAACATTGTTTTCCAGCTGCAGCTGTGCTTCATTCTTGAAATGTATAGTTTGTCTAAAGTGATGTATATATGTAAACTATATAGTATACTTTGACCAGGGATACAATCAGCCAGCGCAGTCGTCCCTCCATAGGACATTTTGTGTCTGCCGATTTGTTTACTTGCGGAAATACCATCTGCATTTTCCTGCACGTTAATTCTGACCAATTGAAAAAGCAGTTTAGGAAATCCGTTCATTAACATCTGGCCAATGAGTGATATGGATTTTGTCACATGACTGCATTTTGGTTCTTTTCATCTGGTTCTGGCCAAATCAGTCAATGTGGTGTAAAAATGACCCCAAAATGCCAGAAAAATGCTACAATGTATAATTTGTTGCTCTTGAACTACAGATGTGAAAGCACTGTTAAAATGGTGTTAGAATGAAAACACTTATTTTTTTTTGCTGCATCTCAGAAAAAGATTTTCATTCTCACTATACAAAGTAAAATGCATGATATGTGACCATTCACCCTCATATTTGTACCTACTAGTTGCATAATGGTCATATGACAGGGACTTGATCAATCAGGGAATGACATATACATTTTCAAGTCTACGTTTTAGCACGGCCATATGGAAATGGAAGACGAACATTTCCAAACTAAAATGAGGTCTTCAGAGTTTTCAGGCATAACTGTAACAGAACTTGCTCTAGTGTAAACAGCATCTGAAGCTTGTGTAAATGTCACATCCTTTTGATTTTCCTGCCAAACACATCCTTCACAAAAAATCAGTCCCCAGGCATTTAATAGACAAGAAGATCTTGTTTTTCTTTAAGTTTAAATACAAGGTGTTCACACATTGTCACAAAAAGGCTCAAAAACACAAAGCAATTCCTAATTTTAGCCCAATTAAACGTGCTGTATGTATGTTTTTTACTCTTCTAACCTCCCGAGACGCCGCCTATTGACTTGTGTCCTCTGTAGTGGACATTGCGTTTTCATGAATACTCTTTGAATTTTTTGAGCTACTCTGTCGAGTCCTGTTGTACTGTTCAGAGGACATCCTTGGCTTTCTAGTAATATGTCATTGGCATGTGATATGGCTGGCATGCTAGGAGCCATTGCTTACACTGCATCCAAAATGGCTGACATACAAAAAAGCACATTTTATGGGAAGAAGAGAGGTAGATTAGTTTTAGCTTTACTAATATTATTACATATTACAGTTTATTAAAGTGTCAGGAACAATACATATAGCTTTCAAAGCTGTTAACTTGTTTGTGTTTCAAAATATCATCCTTTTTTTAAATGTCCACTATAGTGGACACCAGGATCATCTTAATGTTATTAATGACTGCATGTTGTAGGAAGCAGAACTGAAGCAGAGAGGATTCTTTATAAAATAGTCGAGGGAGACAATCAGTTTTAAATCACTTTTATGTTAAATTTGTTTTGGAATTACATCACTTTTTTGTTGTTGTTTTTCTTTTTTTTGAGTTCGGCTCTCTTTCAGACTAAACTGTTTCAGGAATTTCAATACAAAAGGAAAAAATGGCTTTTGTTTTGTTTTTGTTACATTAATATTGGATTATTATCTCTTTACAGCCATATCCTGTACAGTTTTGTTGTCTGAGTGGCGGTCGTTTTGAACTAAAATGGTCCTGTGGTCCACTACAGTTGACATGCTGTAAAATTCAAAGTAGATTTTTTTTATGCCAGTTTAGCCAATTATATATATTGTAAGCACCCCTGGTTGTCTTTGTGGCAAACAGTGTATTTCATTAATTCAGTCAGGAAGGCTCTAAAGCATGCACACAGCAGACTCAAAATTAGATGCATATCAGAGTTCCACATGAGGTTATTAATTAGCAAATTATATAAATATTACAAACGTAAATATTGGGTGAGCAGGTTACATTGTAACCCCGTGTCCTAACAACACGCTACATGATGACATTTGCAGTTATAAGCAATTTGGCTTTTTGCACCAGAACAAACACGACAGAAAATAAATACAGCCATTCAGAAACACAGAATAGTGCACTCACTGCACTCCAACGAAATGGTAAGACTTCTTATTAAATGAATACATACTAAACCTCTGTAACATTATTAAATGTACATGCTGAATCACTGATATGTGTTTGCTTAAATTGTGTTTTGAACTAGGAGTGCAGTACCTAGTTCAACCACGGGGTGTCAAACTTACATACTGCACCTTTAAATATGAAAACAGAAGACGTACGGCTGAAGTGAGAAGAACTCATCTTTTTGCTGGGGAATGTTTGCAAACCATATGCATTTTTGATTTTAGAGGCAATCATTTACTCTAGTTTGTTCCACATTTTAGTGCAAGAATGACACATAAAGCGTGTCATCTTTCCTTTAGGTTATAATAGTTGTCACTAAACACACATTGTCATCTAAAAAACTGTTGTTGATTTATACAAGAAACATGACAAAAGTGCCCTTGTGGCTTTGATTCTCACCCTTTCACTTTCGTCGTAAAGCACCCAAAGCTGCTTCACTTTTAACCTGTCTTTACTAAAACCACTGAACTGGTTAAGAGCCTACAGAAGTGTCATCTCACCTCCTGGCTGGCAGAGTCATTAATATTCATTGCTATTTTTCTGGCAAGTTTACGAACGCACAAAAGCAGGCAAATCTGTTTGGTGTCTATCCTCTTTCCAAATCTCGCTCCCCTCTTGCTTTAGTGGCCTTGTTTTAATGCAGAGTCAGTTCGGGTGTGTTTCTGTCTCTCCGTTTAGGGCTTTAATTAGGATTAGGTTTCAAACGGCACTTTGATGTCTTTTCCGCGACCCCTCAGCCAGATGGCAGCCATGATCATCTTTTTGTTCTTGTAAATATCGATGCACTTTGATTCTCCTAGTTTAATGGAGGAAATGAAAGATGATTGTTTTTCATTTTGCCATGTGTAAGCTGTCTCCAGCCGCGCAACATGACGGAGTGGCCTTTGTATGTGTGTGTCTGTCTTTTTCCAAAATCGCAAAAGGAGAAATTCGCTACCCGGCCCGAGGGGGTAGCATGTGCGTTCCAGCTGTTTGCAATCAAGCATGGCTCTTCAGATCCTGTCTGTAAAGGGCTTCCTCATGGCCGGTTCATACTTCCACAATAGTCTGTCAGTGTTTACAGCACCGTACAAATACACAGAAGGGAACTGTTGGGTTTTATATCAGCGGAGGTGCACTTGTGTCTGTTTTAAGATGTGGTTTTCTTGACTTCTGCCTCTTGTGTGTGTGTGTGTGTGTGTGTGTGTGTTTGAGTGTTTGTGTTAGTAAATTTACCAAAGCTCTTTTCTGCAGGATTCTGATGGTCAGGGTTGCCCTTTCTGCCGCTGTGAGATCAAAGGGACTGAGCCCATCATTGTGGATCCGTTTGACCCACGTAACGAAGGGGCCAAATGCTTCCACCTGGACCACTTCAGCTCCCCCTTGCTGGACCCGGATGATGATGATGACAGGGATGGATTGCTGGTCATAGACCATATCAAGAAGGTACAACACGCATGAAATTTCCAACATAATATCAGATTTAAAACTATTTACACTGCCATTCAAAAAGTACTGTGCTCAATTAAAAAATAAATTCAATTAAATTTAAGTTTATTGGAATAGTGCTTTTTTCAGTAATTACTATTTTGAAGCAGCTTTACAACATGTGCACATTATTACAATACAATTTAAATAGTATATTACGAGTTTTCAATGAAGTGATCAACAAAATAATTAAAAACAATCATGTACTGTCTATTTCTTTAGACTTTGTGATGTAAATGATTTATATATAATAATAAATTTGGTTGGCTAAATTGTTCGTAGTGAATGAGTGTGAATGGGTGTGTGTGGATGTTTCCCAGTGATGGGTTGTGGCTGGAAGGGCATCCGCTGCATAAAAAACATGCTGGATAAGTTGGCGGTTCATTCTGCTGTGGCGACCCCAAATTAATAAAGGTACTAAGCCAAAAAGAAAATGAATGATAATAATAATGAATGTCCACTATATGTTCAAGGTTTTGTTCTAATTAATTTATCATTGCATGTTATACAAACAAATCAAAAACTATATTTTATATTAATTTAATAACATCAGCTCTTAAAAGACTTAGGCCCCATTTACACTAATGCGTTTTCGTTTTAAAACGCATAAGTTTTGCTACAGTTACGGCATCCGTCCACACTACGCCGGAGTTCTTGAGCGCCGAAAATGGAGCGTTTTGTAAACGCTGGATTAGCCGTTTTCATTCTGAAACGCTGCTGCTTCGTTTCAGTGTGGATGAGGAAAAACGGAGACATCTGAAAACGGAGGTGGGACTGCTGAGATTCGCTACCTGATTGGGGCTTTTGTATCATTGCGTATCCTTCCCCTATTCCTCAAGTCCCTATCGCATGACTATAACACATGGCTTTACTGCTACCGGAAGGCAGTACTGTAAACAACAACATGGACACAGAAATGGGAGCGTTGTTTGCACTATTGTTTGTTTTAGGCACCATTGTGCAGTGATTCATTTGTTACGTTTAGTAACAACTCGACCTCGTCGTCTGTCCACAAAAATACCTCTCTTGCTTTCTTTGCCATCGCGTTTATTGTTTGTTGACTAACAATAACAAAATGCCGAGCGAGACGCATACTTCCTGTTTATGCTAGAACAAGCATGCCCAGAGTGCACAAATGGTCTCGTGATATACGTTTTTGGTGGCGTAGTGTGGACGAAGATATGTTCAGAGACGCTAGGTGAAACGCTAGTGTGGACGCGGATCGGTTTTGATCTAAAACGCTGTTTCAAAACTAAAACGCACCAGTGTAAACGGGGCCTTAGTCTTTAGTTAGTAACAGTGGCCAGAACTAGATCTAAGCTTAAGCATGATTGTGCATTTGCTGTGATTTATCCAAAGGTGTGAAATAAGTTGCCACTATCAATTAGAACATCACTGACTTGGGCTTTGTTTGGGTCCCAATGCCAAAGATTAAAATAGTTTGGATATTTTATGTTCACATCAGTGTTAAACTCTATTTACCCTCATCATGTGTTGTGTTATCTTTTATGCTCAGCATGTAAAGCACTTTGGTCAACTAGGAAAAGAGAAGTTGTATTGTCAGCAAATCCTTTAATTTGTGTCTTTTTGACCTCTTTCATCTATTCCAGTTTGAAATGTTTTTAGGTCAATCCCTAATGAATAAAAATCAACTTAGGCCTCTGGAAGATGTCACATTAGGAAAGCCAAACAGATTTTGAATGAACTTCACCCTGATTTAAAGTCAAATCTCTCAAGTATGCCACGATCATACGTTTACAAGTATGCAGACATTTGTTTCTGTCCAGACCTGCTCCGCAGATAAGACTTCATTCATCACTGTTGTCATTCCACAACCGATCTGCTTTTATTTTGCTAGTGGTCTCTTCACTGGACTTCAAAGAGAGATATATCCTGCTTTTATATATATGGCAGAGCCTCCCGCTCTCCAGCAGCATAAATGTCAGTCTCTTTTATTAGAAAAAGAAACCTGTCGAAACCTGCCTCACGAGGACATAACCTCGGCAGCTCCAGCGAGTAGATTCATTAAATGGTAAAGCTTGCAGAGCAATAGAGGGCACCTTCTGGCAGGAACGTTTTTAAATAGAAATGTGAGATATTAGTTTTGCTGTATTCCCTCTCTCCAAAATGCCCTTGCAAAATAACTCGTTGAAGATATCGGCATACTAGTGAGTCAGAGCGAGTTTGTACTAAAGAGTAGTGCTCGTTATTCACCCTTTTTTTATTTCTTGTATTGTTTTGGGAAAATTTAATTAGCAACTCTTTTCCCGCTTTATAAATATTTTTCTGCATTTTGGACAAAAGCCGTCCAGCCTGCAATTACTCTGTTCATTGATATGCTAATGAGACTATAAGTTGATTAGGAAGTTGAATACCCGAACCTGCCCGAAGCATCTCATGGAGACAGTAGCCCATTAGGATAATAATGATTATGATGTAAAAATGAGTGTCAATGCTATTCTCTTCTGTTTGTTACAACAAGCACATTATCTCAGTCAAGATAGAGACCTAATATAAAATAGAGTGTTGCTTGACTGATTTAAATACTGTACTGTGATTTTTAGAATGGTGAGGATAAGTAGTTTGTTTTAAATTAGTTTGTATTTACATTGTAAATAAATTGCGGTAAAATTTACAGTATTACTGGCAAATTTGGTTGCCATTAATACTGTAAAATTTTCAATTGCACTGTAAATTAACAATTAAGCCTGTTTCACACCGCAAGCGCGAGCAGAACGTGTTTTTTTTGCCATCCATGTTAACAGATTATAGCTTTCATAGCAGCAGAGCCGCAATAGTTTCGGCACTGGGTCTATTTTTGCCGTGCTCCTCAAGCTAAATTAAAGTGACAGTGCATTGATAATGACCAAAAACAAATTGAATGACAGTAAAAAATCGAAATTTTTCGAAATGTTCGAAATATCGAAATGTTCCTGAATGAAGTGAAAGCGCCAAACTGCAGTTTAAGTCGACAAATTACGAAGGAAACAACCGAAATTACATAAAACTCTGGAGAAAATGTGAATAGCGCCGTGGTGTAATGACGTTAATATGTAAAACGGGATCATAGAAGGAACAATCAAAAAGCAACTCATGTAAACATCTTCATCATTTTATTGTCTTATTCACATTAAGGCTAATAATTTGAATACTGATGTTCTTGTAAACGTAGTCACTGACAGACCAAATATACGGATGCAGTTTAAGTACGCATATGATATTCTTCCAATTTTTTTGATTTTATTATTATTATTATTATTATCATTATTATCATTATTTTTATTATTATTATTATTGTTGTTGTTTTGATTGTTTTAAGATTTATCTGTCCAGGGACTGCAGGTGGAAAATAGCAACTTTGCTAAAACCTGACACAATGCATCTTTCCTTTCGGGGTCAATGTATTTTTGTGAACGCCCCTGGTAAAAAGAAAATGTTTATGTTTACTTTTTAAATTGAACAGATTTCATTTATGGTAATATTTGCCAAATCAATTATACAATTAAACTGGTGGCCTTGGAGTGAAAAAAAATTCCTACTCTAGGAAATATTCCTTTTTTTTTCCTATTTCCTATTCTATCCATTTCTTTTTCCTTTATTTAAATAAATTAAAAAAATGTGTTAGACTAATTGGGAATTGTTGCCTCTTGTTATTGCTTTTTTGTTTATTTGATAGCTGCTATTGTCCTTATTTGTAGGTCAGCTTGAATAAAAGCATCTACTAGAGCTAAATGTAAATATATTAATGATTATCTCAACTTTAATGAATTTTTAAGGTAATTTTTGGGTAGTTTTATTGATTGTAAAAGTTGGAAAGTGGAAAAACAAAGTGCCTAAATTTTAATCTAAGCCAGTAATAGTAACGCTTGTCTTTGTAAAAAGTCCTCATCTGAGTGTCTTTGTCTTTGTTTAGTCCATGGAGATCCAGAACTCGCCGATAATGTCTCCGAACTCGTCTCCAGTGTGTGAACGCCGAAAAACTGCTGCAGATCACATGGGTCCACACTTAAACATTCCACCCGTCCCACCCCGTCTCGACCTCATCCGCTCTCCTGCTCCCAGTCCCACAGCCTCACCAAAGGTATCTTGGATTTCTGATGACTAAATGCATTTTAATGTTTGCTTAATTTCTAAAGATCTTCCTCTTTTCTCTAATTGCAGTCATCTCCAGGAATGTCCAGAAAACAGGACAAGCCCCTTCCTGCCCCTCCACCTCCACAGAGAGACCCCCCTCCACCTCCTCCGCCAGAACGGCCTCCTCATCTCCCTCAAGAAGGTCGCGCTGCATGGCTCGTCACCCCTTCGTCCGGCCTTCCTCGAGACCCTAGAGCACCCCTAGAGGCCTGGAGCCCAAAAGACAGCACTGCATTGTCAGACTGCAGAACGTCTGCAGCAGACCGTTCCCCCAAACTCGCCCACGCTGCCCCTGCACACATCAACGAGAGACCCCTCAGCTGCTCCAGCGCAGACCTGGGGTTGAACCGGAACAGACTGATCGCACAGACCGAGTGTAGTAAGGTTAGAAACGCACACACACATTCCTTCAGGATCATGCAGATCACGTTTTGGAAAAGCGACACTTTATATTAGGCCTGGAATGTTCTTTCTTTGATAAGCAGAGTCAGGAACGTGAGATAAGAGCTGAAAAATGACTGGACATTGTGTTTTGAAATCACCTAGAACCTTCTGTACTCATTCACAAGTCCTATTTTAAGCCATAAATATTCACTTTTTTCATGCTCATGGCTGTTACTAAGCAACAGTGGTGATATTTCGCAGTAAAGCAGGGCTGTGAAATTTGGCTGTGTGGTAGTGCTTGTCTTTGGCCCTGTCATTAAAAAAGCAGAGTTATTTAAAAACACACCATGAGTTTTGCATAGATCTGGGTTAATGCAGCAGAATGCAAAATGCACACATACTGTATTCGTGGCTCATTTGGAGTTTATAGATTATGTATTAAAAACGCATTCACTGCATGAGGGGATTGGAGAGTTAAATATTTGGTTACAGAGCCGCAGTGGGTCTCTCATTAAAGCCCTGTTGGTAACTGAGAACTTCTCTGAGATGAGAGAAGTGCATGTGGATTTTTTTTTTTTTTTTCTAGTAAAGTTTGCAACATGCAATTATATGTAACCACCAATTGACTGTAAAGTTCTCTCTCTCTCTCTCTTTCTCTCTCTCTCGGTCCCTTGTTGGCATGCGAGTGTATGGATTAATTTAGTGTCACAGTGTGGGCACAGAGCGTTTTGCCCCTGTTCTCTCGTCACAAGCCTACATGGCTGTGTTCAGCCCACTGCCTGCAGGCCACAGCTAGTGTTCAGCATCACACGCTGCTCTTGATCTCTGAAAGAAATGGGTTCAGTCGTTTGAGCGGCTTCTAGAGCTCCTATTATATATATATATATATATATTTATTCATGGATACCTTTATAGGTTTTTCTATGTGAAAACACTTTTCGTGTGCTCTCAATTTTTCTCAGATTTTTCTGTCTGTGTATCATGATAGAATATAAGTTAGAATCATTATTGTTTTTTTAAATACATTTAAGTCTATCTATCTATCTATCTATCTATCTATCTATCTATCTATCTATCTATCTATCTATCTATCTATCTATCTATCTATCTATCTATCTATCTATCTATCTATCTATCTATCTATCTATCTATCTATCTATCTATCTATCTATCTATCTATCTATCTATCTATATATCTATATATCTATCTATCTATCCATCTATCCATCTATCCATCTATCCATCCATCCATCCATCCGTGTTATGAATATCATTTGTAATTTCATGGGTTTTGCATTATTTATATGAGGCTGGTGTGTGTCTTTGTTTATTTTTTATAACACATCCTTTTTGTGTGCATATGTTTCTCTGCAGTCTTTCGTTAATGGTCTGTTACCTGGTGATGAGTATGACATTCCCCCTCTGCGTCACTCCCCTCCTATTCTGGACAACAACCAGAGGTAAATGCCATACACATACACAAACACACACTCCCATCTCCGGAGCCTTGCTGCGGCTTTTACTCTTTGTGTCCATATAGGTTATAATTGCTGTAAAGCAGCTCAATCTGTCTGCCATTATTCTGAAGGGAGCTCTCACCAAACAACTGTGTTTATCCTGTCCAATTCATACAATTTTCACATGATTACAAGTCACCTGTTTAACCTTCTCTAGAACTCTGTTGTCTGTAGTCTTGATCTCATTGTGATGCTGATACAGAGCATCTTTTCCTGCTCTGCTAAATAATCTGCTTTTGTGAAATTTGAATATTTTTCTTTTTCTTTTTTCACCCTCGATGAAAACACAAAAATAATGTGGATTTAATAAATGTGTTAATGTGATTCAGGATCTGTATCCTGTATGCCTTTAGAGCTCTGTCAGAACAACATTCGCGCACACACACACACACACACACACACACACACACACACACACACACACATACACAGAGCAATGTTTGGACACATGTGCACCAATTATGCAAGAGCACCAGGATCCGGAGAGCATGTGCTCTTTAAACAAACATGAAGGCATCCACACACATGCAGACACACATACACACACACACACACACATACACATCCAGCATTGATGGACTTCCTGTGGGGCTTTTGAGGGAATTAAGCAGAACCAGCCTATATGAGAGGTCACACTCCAAGTTATATTTCCTTTTCTGTCACAAACGTACATGCACTTTGTTTCCACTATATATTTGTGCTCTGCTTGTTGATTATTGTCATAATTATTATTATTAGACAGGCCTGAATAGTATTTAAGTTGATGAACTTCGACGTTTACCTTAAACAGTTTGTGTTACAAACATGAACGACCCCTTAAATTAGGGGTATCAAACTCAATTCCGAAGCCCTGCACAGTTTAGTTCCAACCCTGCTCCAACAGACTTACCTGTAGGTTTCAAACAAGCCTGAAGGACTCAATTAGTTTGATCAGGTGTGTTTAATTAGGGTTAGAACTAAACTGTGCAGAGCTGCTGCCCTTTTGGAACTGAGTTTGACACATGTGCCTTAAATGATGCTGCTTGTGGAGGAGAGGTGTGCTGTAGCTCTTTTTACTATATGTATAAATAATATTGATCAAAATATCAAAAATGCTTATTTTAATTATTACACTGATGATACAGTCATATACCCAGCTGCGCATACACACCCAATCTGGCCATTTCCCAACTACAGATTGCTTTTAATGTACTTGTACTTAATGTTATTTTCAAATTCAAAACAAACTAAGCAAAAGCAAGTTTCTATTGCTACTACTTATAGTGCAGAGATTGAATTGGTGTTCAAGTACAAATATTTTGGTATTTTAATTGATTATACACTTTCTTTAAGTGTTTTAAAGCTTCTATTTTAGAATTAGGAACTGTCTTTCTTTTGATGCTAAAAAGAAGTTGGTTGATGCAACATTTATGTTGATATTAGACTATGGTGATGTTATTTATATGTATGCTTCATCTCAGAGTCTGAATGCATTGGATACTGTTTTCCATGGTGCACTAAGATGTATAACTAATTTTAAATCCCTTACTCATCATTGTGTATTGTATACTAGGGTAGGTTGGTCTGCTTTGTCCATTCGTAGGCTCAAGCGTTGGCACATCTTAGTTTACAAATCTATATTGGGTTTACTCCCATCATATCTGCAAAACTACATTTGTAAAAAAACCTGTCCAGCTATGGCCTTCAGTCACTGGATGGTGTCACTGGAACACTGTGGTGTTTGCTATCTGTTCTTAAAGTGCGGACTGAGATGGGGAAAAGGCTTTCAATTACACCTTTTGCATGGAATAATCTACAACAAAGTTGCAGTTTAAAGATTTGATTTCACTAAATGCTTTTAAAAGAGTATAAATGATTTATAAATGTAAACACAGGCTTGTAGATGTTTGGAATAGTTTGTTTGTCAATGTATGATTCATGTTAACTGTCAATTGTTTTTTGTTTGTTGTCTGTTAGACCCATGTGTCATGTCTACTGCTAATCTTGCCATGACGCTCTTATAAAATAGATTTTTAATCGCAATGGGTTTCCTGGTAAAATAAATGTTATAATAATAATGAAAATAATAATAATAATGATAATTTTAATCTAACATATTTACACTTTTAATAAGGAGGATGATGAAAAAACTGGCCTCCTTTTAAACTGAACACACATAATTCTTAGCAGCACCAAACTACTCTGTATGTTATTGAAGTGTTTTGTGCATTAATATGTTGCTAAGAAGAGTTTTCAAAATAAACCTTGCTAATATAGATGTGAAAAATTGGTCTAAAAATACTTACACCTTAGCAACTGCACCGCAAGCTCTCAAGCATTGTCACTGGTTTGGTTGTCAGTGTTAATAGCTTCATTCATGCGACACTGTTCTGCTCCTCTCAGCAGTTCCCGCTACAAGAAAAACTGTGTTTCTGTCACAACTTTGACAAATGAAACCGGCAGGCTGTGGAAACCACAATGGTTGCTGTTTAGAGCAAAGAAGAACAGTGTTGTGTGTGTCTATGTGGTGTATCTTTCTATAGCGCTGTGTCAGTAGCTGTGTTGTTAGTAACTGTATTGTAAGTCTCTGTATGTATATACAGTAAAGCTGTAAAATAATTATCAGACCACTTGAAAATTCTCATTTGGATTTTTTTTTATTATTATGTATGGGTTTGTCTTGTTGATCCAAGTTTTAGAAACAACAAATAATAACTTCTAGTTGAACTTCTAGTTGGGTATCAGAATATTAAGGCAAAGGCCTCTAGATTACACTTATTTTACCAAAATTAAAAAAAAAAGAAAATGATGGCCCATACACTCACCAACATACTTTATCAAAACACACATTACTTACTTTTGTTGAGGCCATTGAAGGTTTACAAAACATGTAAACCTTCTCATAGATATTTTAACCTCGACTGTAGTTGGTTTCAGTTAAAATCTAGGCAAATATTCCTCCATATACTATTTCCTGATGCCTTTAAAATGCTTGAAAACGATCTTCAGTGCATTTCCTCATCATCGCAGTGAGAAGAAGTGTATAAAGCTCCCTCTAATGGTGCATCAGGGTCAGAACCAAAGCTTAGCTGTAAAAACCGCCCATTATATCTCAGCCAGAGCTAGTTAACCTCTTTCCCCCACCGTAGGTGCCAGCCTGTTTAAATATTGGATGTCTTTGCCTACTCCAGCACAGCCTGTGACTCTCTTAGTTGGAGAATTACGTGATTAAATTGGCTAATCTCACTGCGAGCAGCTCATTCACTGCAGAGCTCGTGTTTCAGTGAGTCAGCATGAAGGCGGAGAGCACCCTCCAAATCTCTCTTCTTTTTTCAAGAAAGCTAAGGCATCACTTATAATGCTGTCATCTACGTAAATATTTACATATGCCTTTTTCATGCTTCTCTGTAATTTGGGAGCGCACAAGGCGGATTTATTTGACTGTTTACTTAAGACATTATTTTATATTTGGAGTTAGTGAGCTGTTCACTTGTGTATCAAACTTTTCATAGTACCTACATCAGGGCTGCTCAACCCTGCTCCTGGAGATCTACCTTCCTGCAGATTTCAGTCATCATCAGATTTCATCAGATTTCAGATTTCAGTTCAATATCAAACACACCTGCCTGTAATTATCAAGTGCTGTTTAGGTCCTGATTAGTTCAGGTGTGTTTGATGAGGGTTGGAGCTAAACTTTGCAGGACGGTATCTCTCTAGGAGCAGGGTTGAGCAGCCCTGACCTACATGAATGATTTCTAAATGATAAAGTTTGAGTCCCATACACTTGTGTTAAAAGAGCCAAAAAAAAAATATATATATATATCATCACTATCATCCTATATAAAGAGGATAGTGAGTATTATACTCTGAAGAGTAACCCTTTAAAAGGCTAAAAACATCTTATGTTTTTAGCCTTTAACAGTCTACTATAATGTAACTTGTCACCTTGGTTTGATGTTGCTAAAGTGTTTTGAAAATGGGCTGTATGCACACAGACTTTTAATTTCAGTCAGCCAAGGCTTCCGGTAAATTATCATTCCATACAAAATTGACTCGTTTGAGATCTGATTTCTTAGAAAAAAAACTGTATTATAATTATATTACATTATATTATAATTTACCAGTATTTTCAATGAAATTTCTGCGCTAGCTTGCTGCTAATGATGGCGCCTGCGTTTAAAGGGTCTTTTGTCTATTTTTACACTTTAACAACCAAATTGATGTTTAAATCTATTTAACTAATTAAATTTGAATTACAATACAACATCGATGCTGTAAAAGGAACCTTATGAAATTTAAAATAGACACGTAAAGGAAGTTCTTCATTGGCTGAAAAGCACTAGCTGTGCATATAGCCCATTGTTGATGCTTTACTGTGTGGTTACTAATGATTGGTATGTTGCTATATGGTTGATAAAATGTTCTTAAACAATTCTAAACACTTTAGCAACCACATAGTTTGAGTAAATGCTCAAACTCACACCATTATGTGCTGTTGCTGTTCTTATTCTGTGTGTTGTTAAAATGTTGCTTTAAGGTTGCAACGACAATCCAAGCAGTTTAGCAAACGCTTGGTGACACATTAAAGGTGCTCAGAACAACTAAGCAACACCTTAAAGGGATAGTCCACTCAAAAACAAAAATGTACTACCCGCTCACTCAAAATTGTAGATCTTTACTCATGAGAAGAAATTTTAGGGAAAGTTGGAAATTGGTAACCATTGAGTTCCACAGTAGGATGAAAGTACTATACTATATACTTTATGCCTCCATATTCATTCATTCATTTTCTTTTGGCCTTATTGATCAGGGGTCACCACAGCAAAATGTGATGCCAACTACTCCAGCAAATTTTATATGCAGCGGATGCCCTTCCAGCTGCAACCCAGTACTGGGAAACACTCATACACTCACATTCTCACATACACTCATACACACTTTGGTCAATTTATTTAATCCAAATCATCTATACTGCATGTCTTTGGACTGTGGGGGAAACCGGAGCACCTGGAGGAACCCAGCGAGAATGTGAGGAGAACATGCTAACATTCTTGCTGTGAGGTGACAGTGCTAACCACTGAGCTGCCCCATATAGAAAAGTCAAGGTTTTTTCTTGTCAACATTCTTCTAATTACCTTCTTTTATATTTTAACAGAAGAAAGAAACTAAAACATGTCAGGAACAAGTGAAAAGAGAGAGGAAATGATGACTGACTTTTTATTTTTGAATGAACAATGCTTTTAACTATGGATTTTACTACTGTATCTAGTTACAAAGGTGTTTTGAACATGTTAACCTGTGTCAAGGTGGTGGCCAAGACGCATTTTTAAAAGTATGTTGCTATACGGTTTATAAAACACCTTAGTATTAATTCACAATGAAGTAAAAACTACTTGTTTCAATATTATAGAAGTTAATAATATGTTTGTTCAAGTATGTATAATAGGTGATGTTGCTAAAGAGTTTTCAGTATGATGCTCTACAGTTAATAATATGTTCTAAATCCCCTCAGAACACTTTGATCCTCAGAACAGTAGTTCACATGTTACTAAGGGCTCTTTTTATACCTAGCAACCACCTATAGAGCACTCTAGTGTCCATTATAAAAGCCTGAGTGATTTCTTTGGCCTTGTGGGAACTACTTTTGCATCGGTCAAAATATAAAAACCATGTGAAATATAGAAATGTAGCACTGAGGGCTCTAGATCTGTAGCCTGAAGGCATCATGGGTTGATTTATGTAGTTTAATTGTGTAGTGTAATCATTTTTTTGTGCGCGTGTGTGTGTGTGTGTGTGTGTGTGTGTGTGTGTGTGTGTGTGTATTGTACAGACACATGAACCCCTTCACAAGCCCTCGGAGTCTGACTGACAGAGTAGAGGACGACTACCAGATTCCCTCATCGCATCCCGTTTGCATCACACAGCCGGCCATCTGCATCCCCTTCCGCATCCCCAACAGGTAAACAACAACACAAACTCCCCCATTTAATATCAGTGTCCTAACACCTACACAATTTTACCAATGCTATATAATAATGTGCCTTTTCTCTTTTTCTCTCTCTCTTTTTTTCTAAAGAGCTTTAGAAAATGGCTCGACAGATCACTCCACAGATATAAAGAAACATAAACCTCCAGAACATGGTAAGAAAACACTTACACACGGCATCTCTCATCTGTCATGATTTTCTGTAAGATCACGTTTTGGTGTGACTGGTAGCGTCTGTTATGCCAGCTGTAGGTCAGTATAACCCTGTATTGTGTTCCTCAGGTGGGTTTGACTCCGGGCCGTTGATTTCTGCAGTGTCTCATACCACACAGTGTCCCCTTCACAACAGAACGCCCTCAGACTATGACATTCTACTGCCCCCTCAAGGTAGCCAATCACACGGCGTCTCAATCTGATTGGCTGCCTGATTAGCAGGCTGTTTAATGCTAGTTATTTAATCTGTTGGTATGATTTTCTTTCACTCTAATGCTAGGGTACACAAAATGAGCTACGGAAAACAGTGCAGTCACTATTTTTTGTCAATTGAGTGGCTAAATTATAATGTTGGCTTATATTTAATTGGCCAGATGATGTAGTTATTAAGGTGTGTTTGTGTGGTGCTTTTTTAGACACTTAATTAAGTGGCATTTTTTTTTATCTTCATTTCCATAAGCATTGATGAACATATAAAATAATTGATATTAATATCAAATAATAATAAATAATTGTGTTAATATCAATTAAAACTACAATTATTGATTAATTGCCTTTTTGTGCTTATTTGATTGAATAACAAGTATTTGAAAATAACTATAAGGATTTTGCAGTATGAATTCAAATTAAGGGAAATTTAACCCTCTACTGCACGCATTATGATAGATCTATATAAAAAGACAGTTTTTCTTTTTTTTAGAATGGCTTAACTTGAAGTGCTGTAAAAATTTGGGGCAATTTTATTATAAGTTGTCATATGGCAACAACGTCCAATAGTGGATCTAATACAGAATTTTCTAATTTAATAATTTCATTTTAAATGTATTTGAAATGATTTCATTGGTGTTGCTGTATTATAAGCCTTTGCACAGAATGTATAAATGACACCTTATACATATTTTCCAACAACTGATATTCCAACAGCTAACATTTATTCCATTCTTTTTTGCTGAATATTAACAAACCTAATATTATATTATTGTGTGTACAACGTAAAGTAGGTATACATTTTTCTTCCAGTAAATATTATAGTAATTAAATAACAAGTCTAGTATATCCAGATACATTAGAATACTATAGCTACTAGATAACAATGTTTATATATTATACTGTATACTATACTACGCCTGTCTTTGTCTCTGACCTAACTTACTTGAACTGTCTCCATCACAGCTCTTATAAAATGTCCAATCTGCATCATTCTCATGGTCACTAAAACCCATCTCATCCTCGCTTTCATCTGCAGCTCTGTCCTTTTCTTTTTTCACTTACTATAGAACATGGTGGTTCTCACTAATACACTGTTTCCTGTATTTATACCTAATCAAATGTATTGCCATTTAAGTTTAATTTTATCTATAATGCAAATGCAATTAACGTGACTAATCAACATTATATTACTAGAATTTATGTTGTTATTCTTACAACTTAAAAGATCACAGCTGACCTTGCTAGCTAGGTGACCTATCGCAATATTGCACATTCCGCTATTGCACAGTGTTGCCATTTGGCAACACATACATTTGATTAATTTACAAAAAACGAATTTGCTAAAAACTTTTTTGAGTTGTGAATATGTCATCGTAACTTACTGTAGGTGATATCTCAGAATTATTTGATCTGACATAATTTGATCCTTTGTGTTTATTGAGGTTTTCATTTGCGTTCAGCAACTACTCACAATAAACCTGCCTGTCAGAAATTGCACCACAGAAAAACAATGCACATCATGTGACATAACTAAAGCACATCATTGGCTTAACTAAGGTCTTCTCTTTCCAACAACAAAAAAATGTTGGTTTTAAAAAACAGTGGCATGGAAGTTAACATAAATGCCATTGTAATAAAGTTCACAGCCCTTTGGCCGCCGAGAAGAAGGAGGCGGAGAACCGACGCAGGTTCAAATTATTTATTAATAACAGGGACGGCAGTCTCCGTGAACTGAAAGCAAAAGTAAAACAATATGATCGGGCCCGGTCCTCTCTCAGCTTTCTCTGCCATCGTTCCTCCTTTTATTGTCCAGAGCTCCTTCCGTGGGATTCTAGGCCGGTGCGCACCGCAGGTGCATCCACTTACGCGGTAGCCTCATTCCATTCATTCCACGCCCCCTCGCCACAGTCATGTTACCATATGGCAACACCATGCGGTAGAGGGTTAAGTGCTTGAAAATACTAAATACTCCTAGATCATTAATAGTTAATGACATAGGAAAAGGAGGAAATAATTATTTTATTACATTAAAATAATTGTGATTGTATATTAATATTAATTAATATATTAATATTAATACAACCAGGACTTTAATGTTTAAAATTATTATATTATATTATATTATATTATATTATATTATATTATATTATATTATATTATATTATATTATTCAGGTTTGCTGAAAATTACTTGTATATGGAATATGAATATAACAAGGACATTAATGTTCAAAAAGACAAAAAAATTTGTACTTTTACATTAATTTTTCAGTGCATTAAGCAGTTGTTTACATTAACGTCAACGAAGATACATAGATATTAATAATTGTATTGTTTGTTGTTTGTAAATGTTAATTAATACCTTAATATAATGGAATTTTATTGTAAAGTTTTAACAGAAAATCTGTTATTTACTTGAAATGCAAGGGCTTCTTTCCCAGATAATCTTAATCATAAAATTGACAGCATGTGATTTAAAGTAATTGAGTCCATAATGCTGTCTATACTGCAATAAATGTACAAGTTTAACATGTTTAAAACTTTGTTTGAATGTATCATAGATATTTAATGTGTATTAGAACTTTTATCTTTGTAAATGCATCAAGTTTTAGAACATATCTCTTTAAAGATTTAATCATAGGCCTGAGTAATATTTTAGCTCCATCTGTTGGTGAAAAGAGAGATTGCTGAGGCATAATGTAAACATAGAAAGAACCATCCTCTCTGTCTCTTTCTGTTTTTCCAGCATCTCCAATGGAAGACCCATTCAACGCTCTTCCTCCATCTCAGCCTCCTCCTCCTCCACCAATCAGGAATAGTTTCACGGAAGCCTCGTCCTCGTCTTTATACCCCAGGCCTGCCCGACCCTTATCGGGACACGACCACTTTTTACTCAGCCCCGGTGAGACCAGCCATACAATAAATATCCAGTACTGCCATGATGGGGTTTATTCTGGTGTCTAATTATTGCTGTGATTTACAGACACTTTCATAGACTCATTGAATAACTCGGCTCCCAGTCCTCCAGTACGGAGACAAACAGGTGACAACATGAAGACGCCGTTCAGGGCCCCGCAAGACTACGATCAGCTGCCGCCCACATCAGGTATTACACACTGAATAAAGGCTGTAGATTGTTCTCTGTCTTCACATTTGGCATGTGTGGTTTGATTAAAATGAACTCTTTTACATGTTTTATGAGCTCATTTGCATATTTTATAAGCTCATCTGATACAGGGAGAATTACATTTACAAAATATAAGAAAATTTAATTAATTTGCAAAATATAAGAAAATTATTATTATAAAAAAATAATAATAGTAAAATTATAATAAAATTTTAATTTATATACAGTTAAAGTGAGAATTATTAGCCCCCCTGTTTAATTTTTTTCCTCAATTTTTGTTTAACAGAGAGCAGATTTTTTCAACACATTTCTAAATATAATAGATTTAATAACTCATCTCTAATAACTGATTCATTTAAATTCCTTAAACAAAACAAAAATAAATGTACTGTTTAAATCAGAATTTTTAGCCCCCCTTTGATTTTCTTTTTCTTTTTTCTCACTTAAATATTTGCCAAATTGTGTTTAACAGAGCAACAATTTTTTTTTTACAGTATGTCTGATAATATTTTTTGCTTCTAGAAAGTCTAGAAGAATTATTTGTTTTATTCCGGCTAGAATAAAAGCAGTTTTTAAATTTTTTAAAAACCATTTAAGGTCAAAATTTGGCCAAAACCGCTTTCCTCCGGGTCCTCCGGTTTCCCCCATGGATTTCCCAGAGATAGGTTGAAGCTGGAAGGGCATCTGCTGCCTAAAACATGTGCTAGATAAGTTGACGGTTCATTCCGCTGTGGCGACCCCAAATTAATAAAGGGACTAAGCATAAAAGAAAATGAATGAATACATGTTTTGAAATGTGCTGAAAAAAATCAGGGGGCTAATAATTCAGGGGTTTTAATAATTCTGACTTCAACTTCAACTGACTTCAACTGTACATTGAGTATAAACACATTATTATAAATCAGAGATGCTCAAACTATGGACTGCGGGCCAAAGTTGGCCCATTGTAATCTTACATATGGCCCACCATCCCATCTGAGCAGAGAGTGAGAATAATGGAGAGGGTTGGGGTGAACGCTTTTAACACAGAGATTTCTAACTTGATGTAATTAGTTTGTTTTGTTGCTGAGCTAAAAAAAAAGCAAACTCAAAAATAATGTTTCAATTAAATGTTGTAAATAAATTAAATTTTTAAATAGTAAATACTGTCACTCGAGGGATAGAGGACAATGCAGAAGACATCGGTCAGCAAATCAAGGCAAAAACTAGTGTAATTCTGTTATAAATGAGATTGTTTTTCTTTTACTGCAGTAAGTTTATTATAAAATGTAAAAATACTGAAGCAGTTAAGATAAATCAATGTTTTCTAGTCATTTTTAAATGTTTAAATAAATTAGGAATTTATCTATGGTAGCTATTTTACAGCCCACTAGCCTCAGTTAAGTTTGATTTTTGGCACTTCATAAGAAAAAGTATAAATCCTACTTATTGTATTCACAATATAACCTAGCATCTCCAACCTTAAGCCTAAAATGAGTGTAATATTTATAAAATATTTATGAGAAGAAAAAAAAAATCCACAACATTTCCAGCACGAGCAGAATGTGCCAAAAATACTCCCGTCATTTCCTGATAAAACAGCTGTGAGCGCAGTGTTGTTCTGAATACATAATAGCCTTGCAGGTTTATTAAATGAAGCCATTAGCCATCGAGATGAATGCGCTCAATGAATTATTAATTATTAGCCTGTAATGGCTTTTTAATGTGTTCAGAGCCGTTTTAGCCGAGCTGCTACCATCCACTCTCAGTGGCCCATTTTGACTAAAACACTCTTTGTTTCCCGTCTACAGTGGCCGGAGATTGTTTCAGGGCGCCTGAGAGACCTCCAAAACCACTTCCTCGAATCATCCCGCCAGACATCCACAGAAGACCGCACGAATCGTCCAGGGAGAACGTCGACGCCAAGATTGCCAAGCTGATGGGGGAAGGATACTCGTTCGAGGACGTCAAACGAGCGCTGATGATCGCGCAAAACAAGGTGGACGTGGCACGGAACATTTTGCGCGAGTTTGCGCTAGTCGCCCCCAGACAGGGCCTGTAGCCCACATCCAAAAGTTTCAAACAAACTACAACTGATTCTAAAGCGTACAAACCGCTTGCTTTCGTTTAGCGAATTTGCCAAACAAGACGAAAACGTGCGCTTTTCCCGCCAAAAGGAGCCTAACTGAGTGTTGCTTTTGGGATCCTGTGAAAAACAAAAAAAGCCTTGTGTTTACAGTGACGTGGCTTATCTGCAGCGCTCAGGTCAGCTCCACAGAGGAGCTGAAATACAATTTTTCGTATTTTGGAGGTGTCCGTCCACGTTTCAGAGTGGGTTTGATGCATCCTTCAGAGTTTGTGTTTCTCACCAATGTGTTCGGATGGAAATGAGCAGCTCTGAGCTCTTCTGTTTGTGTTGCCCAGTGTCTGCAGGCTGTTCATGGCTTTCCTGCCACTGCTGCTCTCCCCATACACACACACACATACACACACAGACGTCCAGCCACTAGCTTCTGGCCTCTCTAGTTTCATGAATTTCACAGTAATGGCTCTCGGTGTGGCGTTTCTTTTTCTTTTCTTGGTTATTTGCCATGAACATGATAAACCAGATCACATCTTCTGAGGCAGAGAGATTGATTCTGAATAACAGGTTCACAGTTTTCTCTTTTTATTTGAGGTTGCTGCTTTTTTATCGATAGTTCACCCCAGTATTTAAATGTGCTATTCCTTTATTCACCCTCAGGCCTTTCAAGATAACTTCAGGGGATTTTTAGCCTTTTGTTGATTCATAAAATGCAGGTCAATGGCTACTTTAAAGGTAAAAAACAACGACAAACATCCTTCACCTGTTTTCTTTTCGGCTTAGTTCCTTTATTAATCAGTGGCCGCCACTGCGGAATGTACCGCCAACTTATCCAGCATTTGTTTTACACAGCGGATGCATCCAGCTGCAACCCAACACTGGGAAACTAACAAACATATACAGGCAAAATTAAATGAATACATTGACAATACATTGAGGTCTCAAGAAGCAAAACAGACTGAATGTGCTAGCTAAACATTAGTACTCAGCCAAAGTTGTAATTATGTTTTTAATAATGTTTTTTTCTTACGTACAAATTGTTTTATTTCACAAGACTTCAATTTATGGTCAAAAGCAACATGTTTTAAATTAGTATTAACCATTTTAAATGGTAACCGTTGCATTTTATAAATCACCAGAGACCACAGTTTCCACTAAAATAGTTTTTTAATGTTCTTTTGATAAACAAAGTCAGCTTGGATGATCTGAGGGTGAGTGAATGAGTACATTCGTGTGTGAACAATCCCTTGAACATTCGCCTTCAACATTTGCTTGGATGTCAGCATTAGCAAGCAAGGGCTAACATGGTGGTTCCATCTTCTGTAAATAGAAGGGACTGTGAACTCGTGTATTAAACAACCCCGAATGTCTGCGCCCCCTCCGAATGCATCGGTTGCTTTATTTATTTTACATTCCTTCCCTTTTCCTAATTTCAGTCACCCCCAGCCCACTTGCACTGACGCAATATGCAAAATAAAACAATTTAATAGTAAAAATTAAGTGGACATGCATTGTTAGTATTAGCGCCTTGCAAACAAACCAAAAAACACGCAGATGATCATCACGAGTGAATCTGACGTCACCCACAAACTGAAGATTAAGCAACAACGTCATGGGAATTCTGGGGATTTAAGCTGGACAGCTTTGACTTTTTTGTTCCCTGCTGGCTTTGGCCATTCCTCCCTATCAGGTTTTTCTCTTGAACTTGAAATTTCATTTTTTGCACTGGCCTCGCTCTCCATTTTACACTTGAACGTCTGCGAACTGAGTGGACCCTCCAGCGGAAGAGGATGATTTCTGTTCATTTCCCCTCTTCTTCTTCTTTTCTTTTTTTACCAGAGATTTTAAGTTTGTCGGGAAATGCCTTGTGGATCAGTTGAAACCAGTGACGTGTGCAATTAATTTATACTTTGTTAAAAGTTTTCTCAGAGATTATTTTCATCTTTCAGTAATGTTGGTAACCCGTGATCTGTTCTTGTGGAGAAAAAAAAAAAAAAAAAACATTTTATAAAAGCCAGTATTAACATTAGCTTACTTGTGTTTTTGGATTTATTGACCTCCCCCCTGCCCCATAACCCATCGGAAAAAAAACAAAAAAACAAATCAAACATTTAATTAAAATTTACACTTTTATTGTCAACAAAAGTACAAAAACAAAAGTCAGTATTTACAATACTTTATGGCCTTCTTTTGCGGTTACCCTCTTTGGTTTCACTGCTGACCTGATGGTTCAAAATATGCGTGAACATTCAAAACACTCGTTTTGTGGAGCAAAACAAAAAAGTGAGCGCTAGATTTCTTCGAAACATCCGTGATGAGTACATTAGAACTGAAAAGGGTCTCTTTAGTGACTAAGCAGAAGCACAGCTATCCTTCTCACACTTTTATAAATAGCCGAACACAAGTCAAACATATTTACAGCTTCTTCAGACCACAATGAACGGAAAAACAATCGCTTCAGACCACCCCTAAAGACTACAGTGTAGGACATCAACCTGACAAATGCTTTACATACAGAAAATGAAATGTAGTCTGAGGGAAGTGCAAAACCGAAAAGGCTATACAGTGAGGTTTCACATTAACATACTTGGATTCGTTTCCAACTCTTTCTGTTAAGGCAGAATAAGGGGCTATCCTTTAATAGTTTACTTCCTACCCACAAAAATAAAGGCTCTGCATGCAAGGTTGCTAGCACCCAGATTGAAACCGAGAGTGGGATGTTTGCTTATTTCTATTGAATGCACGTCTAACTCACTAAGTTGGATTCTGCTGAACTCCTACAACTATGACATCATGCAGTGCAACCTGAAGGCCACTGGGTGTAGCAGGATATTTCCCTATGCTATGCTAATTGTCTAAACCCGTTTCACTACTTAGCCACTTTCGAACTAGAGGAAACAACATGAAGAGGTATCAATAAATAAAAGATGAGCGAACAGAGGTGTAACAGCAGTGAAGTCATCGTTCTTCCAGCATCCGACTGCGATCTTGGGTGTTTGTTTTTCCGAAGGGACTGTGCAGTTTCGATATGTAGTCCCACAATCCTTATTCTTTTTTTAAATAATAATAATCCCAACGTTAAGCAGAGTGAATGCACTCCCCTGACTTATTTACACAGGCCTAAAAAGTGTACAGCGAATTTACATTTTCTTTTTTTAATACTAGAAGGGAAACAAAACGGCTGTGCCCACCACATCAGCAATGCGTATGAAACGAAGAACATTCACGGGGAACACAAAAAGAAAACATCGCAATCGATCAAAAATAAAAGCAGTCCTCAGTGCAGACTAAATTTACAACACAAGTGGTTTTACACTCTTGGATCGTGGTGGTGGGATTTCTTTCTTTCTTTCTTTTTTTTTCTTTGCTTTTTTTCTTTTTTAGGAAATTGTTTGTTTGGAGTAGGAAATATTTTGGAAACATTCTGCGATGCGGTATGCGCACGAGCAGCCAGAAGGAGGCGTCGCCGTCCAATCAGATGTCTGGAATAAGATGATCGAAGTGTGTAGTACTGCACATTCAGTGTGACAAGGCCTCTTTCCTGGTTCAAACCTGACAAAAATATACAAAGACATATTTAAAACATGAAAAGACTTCAAATGTGGCATTTAGTAGCTTTTCTAAATGAACTGGGTGTTTTGAACTAATCGTTTGCATTCAAGGTCCTGCAAAGTGCTTTGAAATGTGCATTTTTATTTGATGTTTGACGTAATCTCAGCCAAAACACTATGGCTGTGTCTGAAACCGTATACAGTATACAGTATAAATGTGAAAAGTATGAATGGATTTCAGACGTACTACGTCCGCCATTTTGTCATGGTAGTAAGTCATCCGGGTAATGATTTACGAATTCTATGAAATTCAATTGACATTATGGAACATGATTTTAGCATACTGTATAGTATGGAAGTATGCAGTTTCGGATGCAGCCCAAGAGAGAGTGGGACATAATATATATATATATATATATATATATATATATATATATATATATATATATATATATATATATATATGCAGCCAATAGAGTTGTGTATTATTATTGTGTACTATTTTGGAGCACACTAGCTTATAGATATCTTATTAACTATTAACACCGATACTAACAAGTAAAAAAACTTTATTTTGATTTCATGGGTTCAATGAGTGTCTCATGAAGGCAAGCACTTGGTGCCACCCACTGATGTTATTAGTGAAATATTCATTTAAATACGACAGGACAATAAAAAAAAACACACAACTGTAGTTGGCATATTTAGTATTGTACTTAATTGAAAGTAGGGCTTGGTGAAATGGCATAAATGCAATGTCGATAATTATTTTCCATATTGAACGTTAACGGTATATATTTCGATATCAGTTGTCAATACTTCCAGATTTAAAAGAGCATCCCAACAATAACTGAAGCCACAAAAATTAGAGGATCCATTAAATGGCATAACATATTTTCGGACAATAAATTTTTGGTGGCCGAAAATTCGGTACATCTTTAATATAACCTGCATTTAGATTGTCATTGTTGCACATTTCTGCAATGTGATCTGTTTTATCAGTACAGAGTAAAAAAAGTCAAGAGCTTATTATTGTGCTTATCATATTTATCGGCCCAGCCCTAATTGAAAGCCACAGAAAAATGAGTTGGTACCTTTATTAGTAATATAACTTCACTATCATTACGTGTTGTAGTATTAATGTAACACACTGCATGAATTACATTACATTGTAAAAACAGTGGTTTGAAACTTTGCTGCTGTAAATGAAATGAAAATTTCCACCTCAGTGAATAATTTATCAGCACACCTTTTTATGATGACAAATGAAAAATTCCACATATTAATTCTCGGAAATGAGAATAACAGAATCCAAAGGGTTTCAGTGTTACTCTTCAACTTGTGGGAAGTGAAAAACAACTCATTTACCAGACCAGACATTATTGACCATGATTTAGTATATAAAGTCACATTTAGAAGATATAAAACTGATATAAATATGTAAAGCTTGTAGTTTGTTACTTCTACCTAAATGGATCAACATTTTTTTTTATTGCTTTAAAACAATAGTTAACAATAGATTGCAGAAAATAAGACATTCAGAAAAAAATACAATCAGCATAAAAAGAAAAAAAAAACAGAGGGGAAATTATACATTAAAAGTCATGTCATGAAAGTTATGTCAAAAGTATATCAACACATTTCAACATTTGTCTTTCAGAAAGAAAGATACAGTTGCAATCAAAATTATTAAACCCCCTTTGATTTTTTTTTCTTTTTAAATATTTCTCAAATTATGTTTAACAGAGCAAGGAAATTTTTTCAGTATGTCTGATAATATTTTTTATATTTTTTATTCTGCTGAAAATCCTATTTGTTTCAATTTGGCTAGAATAAAAGCAGTTTTAAATTTTTAAAAGCCATTTTAAGGTCAAAATTATTAGCTCCTTTAAGCTATTTTTTTTTCGATAGTCAACAGAACAAACTATCGTTATACAATAACTTGCCTAATTACCCTAACCTGGCTAGTTAACCTCATTAACCTAGTTAAGCCTTTAAATGTCACTTTAAGCTATATATAATTAGCTTTAAGCTGTATAATTTAAGCTGTATATAATATCTAGTCAAATATTATTTACTGTCTTCATGGCAAAGATAAAATAAATTAGTCTTCGGAAATGAGCTATCAAAACTATTATGTTTAGAAATGTGTTGAAACAAATCTTCTTAAACAGAAATTGGGGAAAAAAAGAAACAGGGGGGCTAATAATTCAAAGGGGATAATAATTCTGACTTTAACTGTAAGGTATACATTGAAAGCCATTTTTGACTTTTAAAAGATTCTCAGTTTTTTTATGCGCATTAAGACAAAATATATGATTCAATAAAAATAGCCCGAATTGTCGTCTTTAACCCAAAATTAACCCTTGTGAATAAAAAACTTCCCCATTATAATAAAAAAGATTAACGATGTACTGAAGGCAAGATTTAAAGTTGTAAGAAAAGAAAATGATGACAAACGTATTTAAACAAATTTCTACATTTATCTTTTCTGAGAGGTAGATGCATAGTTCTGTCCAAAACAGTTTCAAACAAGTACACAGAAAAGATGAACAATGGTTTCTTCACAACATATACATTTGTTTTCAATATCTAGCATATATTTACTGAGTAAACTATTACAAGGATAGCATCTATGTAATTACTTTTACTTTGTTAATCAGCAAATATTCATGTGAAAGATTCCTAGTAACATCCTGAATTATGTTACATGAAAAAGTTGAATGTGTTTTATGGTTAAAAGTCTGCATCATATGACTACTAATTTTGTCCTCAACTATTAATATCCCTTCTATTACCCACCGCGGTGACTGAAGCTCTGCACAAGACTTTTGGCCAGCGTAGAAATTAAAATGGTCGTGCCGAACTGAGTCTGGTTCTCTCAAGGTTTTTTTTCTTCACTCCCATTAGGTGAAGTTTTTTTCCCTCTCCGCTTTCGCCACTGGCTCGCATGGGTTAGGATTGGTAGAGCTACGCATCGATGAATTGGCTCTTCAGTGTTTGAACTCTCAGTAATGATTAAATCACACTGAACTGAGCTAAACTGAACTGAACTTAAACACTAAAAACTGAACTACACTGTTCTAGTTACTATGACCATTTATGTGAAGCTGCTTTGACACAATCTACATTGTAAAAGCGCTATACAAATATAGATGAATTGAATTGAATATTAAGATTGAAATTCACGTCACTTTATACTTCAGTTTCTCATCAAATCATGACCAATCAAATGCTCTCTAATATCTGACATGCCCCGCCCCCTTCACATTAGCTTTTTATTTGATGCCCTTGAGCTCAACCACTCTCACTGGCAGAGCTGCGATGAAACAAACCATCCCCATATCCTAGTTGGCTTCATCACTCTTTCTCCTCTTCACCAACCAGCTAGTGCAATACGACTGTCGTCACGTCATCCAGGTGAATGCTGAACACTGGTGGTGGATGAGGAGATTATCTCCCAAAAATGTGTAAAGCACTTTGAGTGTCTGGGAAAGTGCTTTATAAATGTAAGAGTTAATAATATTATTATTATAATTAAAGCTATAAGGAAATATATGGACATACAACAATTTTATAAACTGTAAGAAATATTTAATGACATATTTTATAGCCAGAAATATATACTTTTTCAATGACAGGTGTGATTTTTAGACCTTGCCCTGTGCTTTTAATATCATAAAACTGCGAAGAAAAATCTCCTCACCTTCTTCGTTCCGTTTGACGGCTCTCTCCACTCTTAGACATCTGCTTTATGATTGTTCTCCTCCAGTTTCTTACTCTCCTCTGAAGTGCCAGTCTCCTTCTCTCCGGTCTTCCAGCTGCCTTGTCTAACAGGACAATTTTACCTTGATTAATCTTTCAGCACATTTCAAACTGAGCTCTGCGGCTACACCGCTTCTGCCTCACTCCGCTTCTCATGTCAATCTGAACAAATCATGATGATGTATAACAGCAGATACGGTGACTTCTACTGCAATCACACATACTTTATCCCATATACAGCTTGTAATTTAAACGTAGAGTATGATTTAGGCTTGAAGCACACTACACTTCTTCATACTTGACTTGTTTTTGCGATGTCTTACCTTGTTTTCTTGATATACAACCAGTAGATGAGTCCCACCAGGGCAGCGGCTAGAAACAGTCCAACCACGACACCCACAATCACTTTGGCCTGGTCTGCGCCATCTTCATTTTTTCCTAAAGATACAAATATAGCACTTTATGACTTCCTCTAAAAGCATTATGACTCCTGACCAGGAAAGGGAGACCTGGGAAATAAAAAATGATGGATAGAATTCTGCTATTTGAGACCAAAATAAGTGCTGGGATTATTTGAAGAAGCATTTTTTTCCTGTAGGTGTGACGTGAAAGCAGAGTTTGCATGATGTCAGGATGCTTGACACCCTCCGACTCGTAATCTTATCAATTCTAATTGATTTAAAGTGAAATTGAAGTGAATGAAATCAGATTCTCTTACCTGGTTTGGGCTTGTCCTCCTCAAATACTGAAATCAGATATAAAATCAAATTAACTTTGGGTGCAATATTAAACCTAAAGTAGCTAGCATTTACACAAATTTGGTAGGGGGAAAAAGCCACCACCCAACTGTGGTTTTTAGATGCAAAACCAGTTTAAATCAGAAGTGAGTGTTTTCCAATCAGATTCTAGTAAAGGAGACCACAAGCATGCGGTAGCAGTCGGAAAGAGAAGAGAAAGAGGAAGAGGAGGAAAAGGGACAGCAGTCCAAGCACCCTGACACAGACAAACAAAACCCGAGCCAAAGCCAGAACCAAGAGAGAAAGACAGTGTCTCATGCCCTGTGAGTGAACAACAGGACCTGAGAGAGAGCAGCCAGTCCTGTCTTTCCAGTGTTCACACTTCTAATAATTACAGTATTGTAAAATGACCACTACTGTAAATCACCCTGCATTTGAATAGTGCAACAAGCAAAATTCTGCGAAACATGCTAGTTTTCACAGATCTCCTCACATGCGTGTAAATGATGTTAGATATGGCATCTATCAGGGCTGTCAAAACTATTTATTCTCAATACAAAAAAAACCTTAAAGGAACAACTTGCTCAAAAAAATAAAATAAAATAAAATAATCTACCTCATCTAGTGCTGGGCGATATGGTAAAAATGCAATGTCGATAATTATTTTCCATATTGAACAATAGCGATATATATTTTGGTATCAGTTGTCATGCTTCCAGATTTAAAAGAGCATCCCAACAATGACTGAAGCCACAAAAATTAGAGGGTCCATTGAATAGCATTACATATTTTTGCCCGATAAATTTCCGGTGGCTAAATATTCGGTACATCTCTTATATTAACACACTTCTAGATTCACATTATTGCACATTCCTGCTGTGTGATTGGGTCTTAGATCAATACAGAGTAAAAAAGTCCAGAGCTTATCATTGTTACTGACATAGATTTTATCGCGATTCGATGCATAATATCGTTTATTAGCCCAGCCCTAAGCTCATCTTAGAATTGTATTATTTTTCAGTAGAATGTTAAAAGATTGAATTTTGTCATGAAAGGATTTATAAAAGCTTGGTCTTTCAAGAAATGTAGCTTAAAACATAAACAGGCAAAACAGAATGAATACTAGTGGCTCCTAATGATACATTAAGAAAAGCTATAGGTCCGTGCAAGAAATGAAACGCTTTTTTTTTTTAAATAAAGCAAAGCTGAGCTTGTTCATGACAATACAGAGTTTCCTGTTGCGTAAATGATATATGCACAGGTGCAAACTCAAAATATAGGTTGCACATCCAGTATAATTATAAGTACCAAATACACCTGGCAAGTCTTGTCTCCTTTTTCTAGTTTTAGGAACAGCAAATAATAACTTGACTTCTAGTTGATCAATTGGAATCAGAAGTGGCTTATATCAAAGGCAAAGACCTATAAATTACGCTTCTTTTACCAAAATAAATATGATTATGCCTTGATTTTTAATTCTTTTATTTGGACAGTAATTTTTGCTAAGACAAAAGTCTTGTCACTTAACAGAAATAATTTACACTATAGAATATAAAGTCATGGCTTAGTGGGAAAATAATTAATATTTTGTATGACTCCCTAGAGCTTGGATGACTGCATCCATACATCTCTGTAGTGACTCAAATAACTTGTTAATAAAGTCATCTGAAATGACAAAGAAAGCGCTCTTGCAGGAGTCCCAGAGATCTCCCTGGATTTTTCAGTGCTGCCTCCTTTATCACCCAAGACATGCTCAATAATATTCATACTGACAACTGGTCTGGCCAACCCTGGAGCACCTTGACCTTCTTTGCTTCCAGGAACTTTGTGGAGGGTGAAGTATGAGAATCAGCTATCCTGCTGAAGAATTTGCCCTCTCCTGTGGTTTGTAATGTATTGGGGAGCACAAATTTCTTGATACCTCAGGCTGTTGATGTTGCCATCCACTTTGCAGATCGTTCATACATTCCCATGCTGAATGTAACCCCCAACCATGATTTTTCCTTTACCAAACTGGACTGATTTCTGTAAGATTCTTGGGTCCATGTGGGTTTCAATAGGTTTTCTGCAGTATTTGTGATGATTGGGTTCAACAGGTGATTTTTTTTCTGCCACTTTTCCAAATGATCAAGATGTCAAGGTATTATTGTTGCTCTTACAACTGGGATCAACGACAGGACTTTTGTTAGGTAGTGTACAATTTTTTCCCCTAATTTTTTTTATAAACAATACACTAACATGCACACCTTGTTCATGTCTTTGTATTTGGAATACTATAGTGATATTTTACCCCAAAACAGGGCCTAAATTAATCTATGGCATAACACGGTGCGGGTCCTACAAATGGTTGAGTCCTAGAATAAGTTGTAATACAAATTGTTGGATGAAAACCCTTTTTCACAAGTCAAATCTTCTAATTAGAATAATTATGATTACATGAATAATTATGATTACATGATAATTATGATAGCTAAACTCATTAATCTGTTCACTTAATTAAACCTCTGTATAATCAGAGGTGTGCACATTAATTTTGTTTTGCCTGTGTATGTTATTTTGAATCTAAAAAGAGTCGGCAGTAGATTTGCAGTTTGTGATTAACCAAGTACCAGATTTTTAGCTAAAAATCTAATTTAAGGTTCTAATGAAGGAAAAAAGAGCCTCAACGATAGCCTGAGGAACAATTTAGCAAATAACCTATTATTCTGGTTGAAGCAGGAAAACACATTATTTATCCTAAATCTGACATTTAATGAAAACAATATCCCATTTTCCACATCTATGGCTCAAATAAACATGATATTTCAGTGTTTTTGATCTACAGTGGTTATCTATTTTTGATCTTTACATGTTTGTTCCACTTCAAACCACTTTAATACGTTATTATCCATGGTAAATATGTATCACAATGGTTGTTTTAATCTAAATCTGTTCTTGACAGCCCTATAATATGAGCCTTTTAAAGGGGATCGATTGAGTGGTTAGTAAGCGGCCTTCACAGCAGGAAACCTCTTCGGTACTTACGGGAAAACACGCTGATGTCCTTTGTGTCGAAACCGAGTTTATTGGTCACGAGGCAGCTGACGGTGAGGTTCTTACTCGGGACCACCGTCAGTTTGTATGTGGCTTTTCCGTTGACATACGATGTTTCATCCTGCAAGACAACCAACAGACAATTTCAGGTTATCTTTAAATCATTTTAGTACATTTAGGTAATGTTTTTCGACAGGTTGGTTTAATTATGACTCTTTGCTTGAGGCGCTGTTTAATACACCTCACCGCTAGAGGGCGCGAAAGATCCTCAACTAGTTTCATTTAGTAACGTAGCCTATGTACACCTCACCACCACCACACCCAGCGTTAACGGAAACAAACATACACACAATTCAGGATCTGAAAACACGTAATGTTGGACTAAAAATCTCACACAGCCATTAAATGTGTTTCCATCGCAAACACACTTCAGTATCTGTGTCATTAAGGCAGGCAGTGAGTGCTGAACCACTCACTGAGAGCAGTAACTGATGCCTCCACAGGAACAAAGCTAACGAAATATAGCAGAAAATAAGAAGCCATTAAGACTTAATCAAGTTCAGATTAAAAATAGTATATAATGTACTTCACAATTTAGTTCATATAAACACAATTCAAGTATAAATATGGTGAAGGCGTTGCGTTGTGGAGCTACAAGGTGACACTGACAGTAGGTAGCTTATGTTTTATTTGGTTAAAAACAAGTTAAAGGGATAATTTACCCCAAGTAAAAAAAATCTGTCATCATTTACTCAGCCTTTACTTGTTCCAAATATGTTTGACTTTATTTTGTTGAACACAAAAGGAGATATTTTAAAGTAGGCTGGAAACCTATCGACTTCCATTTTTGTTTAAGTAGCCTTCTATGGAAGTCAGTGGTCACTTGCTTTTGTTTTTCTTCTAAATATGTTTTTTTAGTGTTCAACAGTCTAAAGAAATTCACAACAATTTTCAATCACTGTGAGTAAATGTTAAGTAATTTTTCCCTTTTGTGGAACTTTTCTAACTTTAGTGTATTAATACTTAGTTAATCTCAGGAGTATTATACTTACATTTGTAACACATGTAAACATTTAACAACAAACAGGTGACAATTCTCTCTTAAACAGATTTTTACTTGTGCTACTTTGCATAGTGTTAACTTTTTTGAGTATCTTTTTCTCATCTTATGCTTTTTGAGCATCTTATGCTGAACAAGACTCCATTTATTGGACCTAAAAAGCTAATTTATTTTATAAATACTAATTTTTCTGCAGTTCAAAACTACTGTAAACATTTTAAAAATTGTGACTGCAAAACAGATTTTACAAAGTCACATGATTCCTCAGAAATTATTTTAGAAAAATATATCATTTGCTGCATAATAACTATATTTAATGTTATAATTATATTTGTGCTGCTTAATAGTTTTAGGAAACCATAACAAATTTTAAAATACAACTTCAAAACTTTTAATGTGCGATTACTGAATAATAATATGTTATATTTTAGTAACAATACCTTTATTTTAGGTACAGTTATTGCTATTAACAAACCATTAACATATTTTAGCTCAATAAACAACAATAATAATAATAATAATAATAATAATGCTTATTAATAGTTAGTAAAGTGGAAGATTTGGGTACTGGGTAGGATTAAGGATGTAGAATAAGATCATACTTTACAAGTATTAATAAACAGCCAAAACTTGATAATAGGCTAATAAGCCTGTAGTAAAAATACACATTACATTACATAGTTAAAAGTGGGAATTAGTACTTCAACTAAAGTGTTACCGAATTTTGTTTTACTTCAGCTGTAAACTAACATCTACTGTAACAAACAGTACTATGTTTACAGCACTATAAAGACTAACAAGGATGTTTTGGGTTTTGCAGGAGGCAAAGTATGCAGGGTGTGACTTTACAACCCTGCTGGAAGCAGAGCAGCCCCAAACCCCAGATCTAAACCTGTTCATTCGAAATGCATCCACCGAGACCAAGCAAACACTGAGAAGCAGCAACAAACTAACCATGTGTGTTAGTCTCGCTGTGAGCCTGCGGATCTGTGAAGGTGGGTGTGAGAAAGCGAAAGACGAATGGTGGTCAAACTGCTCTTTATCAAAACCCAAACACAGGGACTCATGGGACACACACGCTGTCTGGGATGTCTGGGGTATCAAACACACAAACCAAAGCTAGATTTCAGTGTCCTGCTTTGGCATTGTTGTCCTCATTATCCTGCTTTCTGTCTCGACTGTAGTCTCTCAATCCTCTTGTTAAATTTTAACTTATGAAGTACTGTTTCTGGGTCTAAGCCTCTACTTGAGAACGCAATCTCTGTAATCAATCTCTCTTTAGTTATATCACTTATTAAAACAAAATCATTGTGTTCTCTGCATAGACTTGCTGTAACCCAGACACGAATATTTTTATTTATAAAATATGAATCTCTGCGTGACCATCTAAGATATGAATGGATAGACGATACGATCATGATTTTCAATAGTATTACAGCACACTGTTATATTAGTACCATTTGTTGTTCGCTTCTGGCATCCAATAGATCATTTGGACCCAGTAACCGTGACGCGTGACTTCAGATTTAACAAGCGGATAAGAGGAAACAGGGAGGGCTAAACTCAAGGAAACTCATCACCTCGTCTCAGAGGTGGCAGTGAGAGGCGTTTGGGAGATTGCCGAGACGTGCCTCTGTGGAAATTCGCTTGTCAAAATAAAAAAGGACAGAAACAAAGACAAATTCGCTTGTCACAATATTCCGTACCCGTCAGTCTGTGAACACGGGACGAATAATAAGGTGTCATTCCAGACATTCTGTCCCAGGACAACTCTTCCCCTTTTAACGTAAATTGAAAGTTGGCTTTTTGCTTCTGGGTGCTGAAAACCTGTAACTTCAAACACCTGTGCACCTTTCATCTTGTCTAGACTGGAGCTGAGAGGAATATCTGGGCATCTTTCCTTCTTGCATAAAAATGCACAAGATATGAGGTTCTTTTGGGACCACAGTAATATGTGAAGTGTTGAGTATAAGGCTGAGATTCAGTCTGACAGTGTTGGTGACTTACGTCGGTTCCGTTGACACTCCACTGCACTTCAGGTTTAGGTGAACCTTCTGCCTCGCACGTCAACACTTTGTGTTTTCCGTCATTGCTGCGATGCTTTGTCAGGCCGGTAATTCTTGGACCACCTGGAGATAATATCATATTTATGCTTTTATACATTATATATCAAACTATTTAAAAACAAATGTAAGAAATAGAAAGGTTTATATATATATATATATATATATATATATATATATATATGTAAAGTTCATATATTTAGAATGAATTTTACAGTTTTGGATGCATATATACAGTTACATTGAACAAATCATATACAATAAAAATGTATGTTAATATACAGTTGAAGTTATTGGGCTCCTGGAATTATTAGCCCCCTGTTTATTTCCTCCCATTTTCTGTTTAATGAAGAGAAGATTTTTTTCAGCATTTCTAAACATAATAGTTTTAATAACTAATTTTTATTAACTGATTTATTTTGTCTTTGTCATGATGACAGTACATAATATTTTTTTACATATATTTTGCAAGATTTTTCAAGACTAGTATTTAGCTTAAAGTGACACTTAAAGGCTTAACTAGGCAAGTTAGGGTAATTAGTTAAATCATTTTATTGATATAGCTTAAAAGGGCTAATAAATTTGACCTCAAAATGTTTTTTTTTAAATTTTAAATAGCTTTTATTCTAGCCAAAATAAAACAAATAAGACTTTCTCCAGAAGAAAAAATATTAGACATACTGTGAAAATGTCTTTGCTCTGTTAAACATCATTTGGGAAATATAAAAAAAAAAAAAAATCAAAGGGGGCTAATAATTCTGACTTCCGTGTTATACATGATGTGCATAACAACACTCTTACATGTACACTACCTGACAAAAGTGTTGTTTCCTATCCAAGTTTTTGGAAAAGCAAATAATAACTTGACTTCTAGTTGGTCATTTGGTATCGGAAGTAGCTTATATGAAAGGCAAAGACCTCTAGATTACACTTATTTTACCAAAATAAAATATGATCATGCCTTGATTTTTAATTAGGACAGAAAGGTTTAACTTAGCTTAGACAAAAGTCTTAATAGAAATAATGTACAGTATGGAACTTTATGTCATGGTGTAGTGGAAAAAGAAATAATATTGTGTGTGACTCCCTAGAGCTTGGATGACTGCATCCATACATCTCTGCAGTGACTCAAATAACTTGTTAATAAAGTCATCTGAAATGACACAAAAAAAAGCGTTCTTGTAGGACTCCCAGAGTTCTACCTGGATTTTTTAGTGCCGCCTCCTTCATTTTACCCCAGACATGCTCAATAATATTCAAGTCTGGTGACTGGGCGGGCCAATCTTAGAGCACCCTGACCTTCTTTGCGTCCAGAATCTTTGATGTGGAGGCTGAAGTATAAGAATCAGCTATCCTGCTGAAGAATTTGACCTCTCTATGGTTTGTAATGTAATGGGCAGCACAAATTTCTTGATACCTCAAGCTGTTAATGTTGCCATCCACTCTGCAGATCTCTTACATGCCACCATACTGAATGTAACCCCGAACCATGAATTTTCCTTCACCAAACTTGACTGATTTGATTTCTATAAGATTCTTGGATCCATGCAAGTTCCATTAGGTCTTCTGTGGTATTTGTGATGATTGGGATGCAGTTCAACACATGATGATTCATCAAAAAGATCTACTTTCTGTCACTTTTCCAAATGATCAACTACAAAACAAGTTATTATTTGTTGATCTTACAAGTGGAATTGATGACAAAAATCTGTCAGGTAGTGTAGAGTTAAAAACAGAATAAACTTTAGTTCTACCTTCCACAGTAAGCTCGAAGGAAAAGCTGTGTTTGATTCCTTCAATAGACACATCACACACGTATAAGCCCGCGTCGCTGTATCTCAACTGGGAGAAATCAGGCAGTTTGTCCAGTTTACGGTTATCCTGCAGATAAAATTGATTAAGTTATTAGTTTAGCATGACTCGGAGGACTAAAACAACATGACCCAAATCTGTTCGATTCTCTACAGTCTCACCTTAGTCCACGTCACTTTTACTTCAGAAGAGGCATTCTTCTCCAAAGACACTACCAAGTTTTCCCCAAGCTTTTTTAACACCTTGCCTGTAGGAGTGAGGCTTGCATCCAGAACTGAAAGAGAGAGACAGAGAGAAAATAAGAGCAGATGACAAGCGTGTATCACTTCGCTGCAGGCTCTTTTCGTACACCTGTCCTCAGAATATTTCAACCACTGAAAAGGCTGAAACACCTCGCATGCCCCTGCCAACTAAGAGTGCTTATTCTGGCCTGAGTGATTGTTTTCTGTCCTCATGCGAACGGCTGGGATGCCACCAGCTTTGAAACTGCACAGCGCAGACGGCGTGAAATATATTCGAATTTCCAAAACTAAGCATCACTAAACCAACGTTATGGAGATCATCAGTCCTTTTGAACCACACATACAGCACACACATATGCTTTGCTCAATGAGAATTATTGAAAGGCCAGTGTGTGTGAGCTTATCAGCGCTGCAGCTTCAACTCAAGTCAGAAAGTCCTAATTAAGCTGTCGGCCTAAAGTCCCGCCCCTCTCGCTAATCCTGCATGCTGAAGATAGATTTGATTAACGCTCCAGTCGTGCATTAATTCATACTAGTATAGAGGAAGGAATTAATTGGAAATGAAAAGTAGGTGAAGCAAGTCTACATTGGCTTTTCAGTTTGTTTAGGCTCAACTCTAATGTCTGGAGCATTGTTTAAAATGATAAATACTAGCCCAGGCATAGAACATTTTCATCTAATAAAACAAGCAAAACAATTTGGGAAAACAATATAATATAATATAATATAATATAATATAATATAATATAATATAATATAATATAATATAATATAATATATTCAATCATTCATTTTCTTGTCGGCTTTATTAATCCAGGGTCGCAACAGCGGAATGAACCGCCAACTTATCCAGCAAGTTTTTACCCAGCGCATGCCCTTCCAGCCGCAACCCATCACTGGGAAACATTTACCCGCACATTCACACACACACACACTCATACACTACGGACAATTTAGCCTACCCAATTCACCTGTACCGCATGTCTTTGGACTGTGGTGGAAACCGGAGCACCCGGAGGAAACCCACGCGAAGGCAGGGAGAACATGCAAACTCCACACAGAAATGCCAACTGAGCCGAGGTTCGAACCAGCGACCCAGCGACCTTCTTGCTGTGAGGCAACAGCACTACCTACTGTGCCACTGCCTCGCCTAATATAATATAATATAATATAATATAATATAATATAATATAATATAATATAATATAATATAATTATATTAGCTTTCAAATTCTAAACCTTAGAGCTTTTATTTTGCCAGAAAACTACAGGCAAACGTTTTTTCTTAAACGCTTCATTTGTTGATATTAGATTTATAAAGCATTCTTGTTACCAACTTGGGAAGATGTTTGGACTCACAGCATTTAAAAAATATATAACTACAGTGCAGGCGTTGCGTTCAGCACTGTTTCATATACTTGTCAACATGGTTTTTAATCACACTTGGCGCTTGGGAGAGTGTTCATTTTAGGCTCAGAGTGAACAAATATGTTTTCTAAAGTGTTATGGTAACTGATGCTGAAACTGTGCTGCAATGTTCCTTAAATATTTATCTTCAGATGCAATTCTTCATCAGATGTTGCAAAACACAATAAAGGCGCGCATTTACAAGCAAGTGGTTTCCTTTTTCAAGCAAATGTATGCTTTTCATTCGCATTTATTCATAAGCCACAAATGCCGACCGTATTCATATATCAGATGGTAATCTTGCAGTAGGCTTGCTGAAATGTGTGTGTCAGTTAGCAGAGAACATGATTTTAGATTCATGTTCTGAAGTTTTTTAGATTTGGATTTATTGCAGTTCAGTGCAGAGATCAGAGATTTAGTAGCTGCAAACAACACAAGCTGCTTCATGGATAAACACAAACCAGCTGTGCTAGATATCGCTAAACTCCAATGTAAATGTTAGGAGTGTTATCAGAACACCTGCTAATTTTGCAGAGAAAGAAAGAGTGCCTGCATTTGGTTGGCAGATTGGGTAAATTTGGCAAAATATTTCCAAATAGTGAGCATTTAAAGGTTTTGGAAAGGGATTACATTTCCTCAACTATAAATGTCAAACCATACGTTTTTTTTTTTTTTTTCAAGATTTTTATTTTTTTTTTTTTTTCTGCATATGACATTGTTACGATCACCAGCGATCTAGCCTCTACAGATTACTGGAGAACTACACACACAACACATGAACTACAACTACCAGTATGAATGCACCAATCCTTTCTCCCTCAGCTGACATTCATCTGTAAACACACACAGCTGCGGTTCCTTCCAACTTATTACTAGGACTATAGAGTATATAAACAAGTTTGTATTTCCCTCTCTTTGTTTGTTGTATTTCAGTCACGACCACCAGTGAACTGTAGAGCCTAGATCACTGGTGAACGAGGCAGACATGCAGTTTTCCCAAAGCGACACACTACTTTAGTTTCACTAACATTTTAAATTCATTAAAGCTTAATGTTTATGTTGTTTTATATAGATTTTTTTCAATGAGGAGAACTTGATTATTATATTATATTATATTATATTATATTATATTATATTATATTATATTATATTATATTATATTATATTATATTATATTATATTATATTATATGCTCCAGCGCTCTGCAAAAAAGGTCTGTGCAATTGATGGATATTTAATTATAATATTGATTAATGATGCATTATACTTTACTTCAATAAGTGGAATCATATATGAGGGGAAAGCCTTAAGAACCAAACTTTCAGAAACTTTTCCAAGTTTTCCTGCACTGACTAACAACATTTCATGGAATGCATTTGAAAGTCCAGTTTTTTTTGTCATGCTGCTTGCATTTCAGCTGACTCTGCCCTTTCCAAAAAATCTTTCCATATCTGTGAAATGCTCTATCACTTCTGTCTCTAAGTGTGTGGATGTTTTTATGGAGAGATGGAAGAGAAACAGGGCAGATTTGTCCACTCACAGCTCACTGTGATGATCTGAGTGGACTCCATCACATCGTTGTCAAGCAGAGAGCACTTGTACACACCGCTGTCGGCTCGGGTGACGCCGGTCAGTGTGTAGACATCCTTGTCCGTCACCGTGACCTTCTTTCCCTGAAGAGATCAAGGCAGTGAGATTAACCAGGAGAAGAAAACAGGGCAGACAGCAGGACCCTGAAGATTTAAAAGCGGTCTGGTTGCTGTGGACACTGCCGGCAGTCCCTCACCTTAATGTTAAAGTTGAAGCTGGTAGGAGGAGGGTTTCCGTCCGCCTGGCATTTCAGAGTCACATCATCACCTTCCCTGATGGGGCTCTGAGAGACAACCTGTAGACTCACCTTCTCAGTGGGATCTGAAAGACAAAGAGAGAAAACAAACATTAGAATGAACTGAGGAGGATGGCTGTCATCGCAAGAGATGTGGTGTGACTTTCCAACAGCTACAAAAAAAAAAAAAACATTCTCTAAGACACCGTGCCATTCTGAGGACCCCAAGGGGCTTAAACGCCTTCATTTCCACAACCATTTGCAGTCTCTCATTCTCGCCCTCGTTTTCGCGCCTAGCAGCCACAGAGCATTTCACATCACATCTTCAGCCCGAGGCACTGAACAAACCTCTCAGCATTCAGATAACAGAGAGAGAGCAACTGCAGACTTGGTTACCGGCATTATGCCTGACAAGACCAAGAAAAAAAAAAACATCAAATTGAGCTTGGCTAGCAGCTGAGACCTTCAATTCAAGGTTCAGGACACGAGAGATGGCTTCATGTTTTAGGCTATGCACTGATACGCAGATACCCATGAACGCGGACCCCTCAAACCAGCTGTAAAATCAAACAAATAAAGCTTCAAAGCGCTCGACGCAGCATGTGTCACATTATCTCAGGAAGAGCAAAAGCCCTAGCGCTTGACTACCAACCCAATCCCAATTCGTTTCATCTCTGGGCTAACACGACATATTTGCCCCTAGGGGGAGCTGGTTTGTGTACGAGTAGATTTATACAGTATAGAAAACCTGAAATCTCCTGTCACATTCTATCTGGATTGAATTTGATGGTATGCTTTCATGTAAGAGTGGGTGAAACCATTGGAAGCTTATTGGCCCAAGACTTCTGGTCTCATTCACTTCCATTGATTATCATCCATAAAAAAACAGCTTATTGTATGACTTGATGTTGCAAACTGGTATTTTCTTCTTATATTATTTTTATTTTTATGTATATTATATTATATTATATTATATTATATTATATTATATTATATTATATTATATTATATTATATTATATTATATTATATTATATGTCACACTTTACAATAAGGTTTATTAGTTAATGTTAGTTAATGCATTTACTAACATGAACAAACAATAAACAATACATTTACTACAGTATTTATTCATGTTAGTTAACGTTAGTTAATGAAAATACAGTAGTTCATTGTTAGTTCATGTTAACTCATGGTGCATTAACTAATGTTAACAAGCACTGACTTGGATGTTAATAATGCATTAGTAAATGTTCAATTATGATTAATAAATGCTGTACATGTGTTGTTCATGATTAGTTCATGTTAGTTAATGCATTAACTAATGAACCTTATTGTAAAGTGTTACCATATTATATTATATTACCAATTAAATAAAATAATCAAATAGTTGAAATATTTCATTATGTGCAGTATAGTCATAAACACACTTGTTTGTTTCCACACTGCATAAAACGTGAATAAAAAGACCACTATGAACTAATATGTAAGACAAAATTCACATACAGATACTGTATATCAATGCATAAACAGGTTAATATAATGAGATTTTACACAAAAGCATTCTCAACTAATAATTGGATGCTTTAGCCGTTTATTAACAAACATAATATGTTTTGGGGCCCTGAAGGTGCCAACCTGTTTCAAGGTGAAGGTCTTTAAAAACAATACTGTTATCTACTCCTTGTAAACTACAAAACGCATATGTATATTATGTGTTCAGTCTGTAGGCATAAACATAAATGAACGTCTCGTGATCGTTCAATCAAAGTTGCATCTGTGAAAAGACATCAGTAAAACAGCTTGCAGACAATGTCACACAGCATTACATTACCTCAGGCAAGTCTCCACAGCTTGTACTTGCACAAGAGAAATGAAGTCTAGAGTAGAGCATTTCTCTAAATATCTGCAATATATTAGTTCCTATACATTCGATTTTACGTACCTAATTAGATTATTGAGAAAATTAAGTTATGACATTAATAATTAATTCTGTAGATACTTCAATTTATCATTTAATTATAAAATTTTAAATGTAAAAACTGCCTTATTTTAGGGTTGCATGGTTTACCGGTTCTATGGTAGTATTTATGGCTCCAAAATACTGCCAGTGCCACTGTAGTTTGTAAACGGTAATATCGTCATTAATGGTCTTTCTACAATAGATAATGTTGGGTGTGGAAAAGTCACTAAGTTCAAGTTAAATTTATTTATATAGCACGTTTCCAACTGCAACAAGGCTGCACAAAGTGCTGTACAGAGAAAAAAATAAACAAATGGTAAGGGCATAAAAAACAGTAACAGCAATAGGTACATAATATGAGAAAAGGTGTAACAAAAAAAGTGAAGAAAATTTCGCCTAATTAAAAGATACTACCACAGTTGACCACACTGACAAGATTAAGAACAAGTCCGTTTTGCGCACTAAAATGCGCACACGTTCATTTTAAAGCCCTTTAAGGTCGCAAGTTTTCTGACGTTTCAAACACACATCTGAATCGGATTATTTCTGTTCCTCTAAATATGATTTAGTAGCTACAACATCCATGACAATCTCTTAAAAAGAATGACTTACAAAGACTGAAAAAAAAACAATAAATGAAAAACCCCAAATAGCAACATTAAAAAATGTTTGACCACTTCATATAGCCTAATTTTGTTAGGTAAATGCTATTTTATTTGCATCTTTATTTTAATGTTTTTTTTTTGGTTGGTTATATACAAAACAAACAAAAAGAATGAATTTTATGTGAAGTGACATGCAATGTTTTTTTAATAATAAGGGAATTCAGAATTAATTTAAAGACCTAATATAACATGTAAAACATAGTATTTCTTTATAATTTGAGTTCTGAATTACAGTATCACTATACTATTTGGTATTGTGATATTTCAGCAGGTATAGTATTGTAAGATGAATTAATGGTATAGCGACAACCCTACCTTATTTGCAGTTTCCTTAGATAGAAATGTTTATAATTGATTGAATATTACATCTAAAAATAGAGAGCTAATTAACTTAACAGTTTGTGCTCTTGATATTAATTGTAACCTTTAATATTGTAGTAATGCTCAAGTAATAGAACTTCCATTAATGAACATAATTAGCTCGGATAGATCCTTTATCTTTAGAAAGAAATTGACATAAGGAGACATAATTTGTTCATAAAACTGTTAAAGCAGTATAAAAAGAAGCCACTTTACACCATTACTGTTTAGTATGCAGTTAACCACACTTAAGTTACTTACAGCGAATTTGGAAGGTATCGGGTGTTGAAACCTGGTTGGGTCCCGTCACGTGCTTTGCAACGCAGGTGAACTGTGATGCCACATCCTCTTTCCTTGCTGTGTACTGCAGTCTGGAAGAGGTGCTGGACAGACCGGTGACTGGGTCCTTGGTGACATCTGATGTGATAATGATCGCTGCAGTCACACACAAACACACATACAGACACATCAGTCATTAAAGCTGGCAAGCACAGTGAATGTCACACCGTATGTCTACCCTGGAAGTGCCTGACACCCCATAACGACAGCTTGAGTCTGCCAACACTGTCAGATTGTTCACTAACCACAAGCCAATCAGCTGTGAGCTCCAATACAGCAACAGTTAAAGGGCTACGTTCCTTTTTTCCCCCCTTTTCTTTTTGTATGTGCTTATTTCAAATAGCTAAATTGCATATAGTTATGATTAGATGCAAAAACTAGTTGGAGACCATAAGCTGAGAGTGCTCATTAAGTGAATTAGTTAATGCTTTTATAAATAATTTCAGACATACAGGAAAATAAGCCTGTCAAAAACAGGTGGTGTCTGTCGATTGAAAAAGTGGCATTCATATCAGATGCGTGCAGTGTAGACATATTCAATATGCTTACAATACAGTATGCGCAATATCTAGCTATGTTGTGTGGCAACATGCCGCATACATCCGGTGTTGAAAGACATTCACTTTTTTCTATAATAGCTTTAATGGAAATATTATTACACATACTTGAGTCATTCAAACAACAGCCTTATTAAGCACATATACATGATTTCTTAATGCAATATTTGTATGGATTTAAGTATATATACTACCATCTCATCTAAAATGAATACAATATGATGTATTCTTAAGTGTTGCTTGCTATCAAACAACATTTTTAAAAAGTATTAACATGAACTTTAGATATAATTTTAATTTGATGCTTCATTTAATGGGTGAGATATTGTAACAAACTGTATAAAACATGAAAAAAAAACTAATGATATTAACAATAAACACCTTTATCTCCATTAACTAACATTAACAAAAATACTCTAATAGATGTATTGTTCATTGATTTTTATATACATTAACATTAACAAAAATACTGTAATAGATGTATTGTTCATTGGTTTCAAATACATGGTAGCACTTTACAATAAGGCTGTATTAGTTAATTTTAGTTAATACATTTACTAACAAGAACAAACAATGAGCAATAATTTTACTCCAGTATACAGTTGTTCATTGTTAGTTCATGTTAATTCACAGTGCATTAACTAATGTTAAAAAGCATGAACTTGAATCTTAATAATGCATTAGTAAATGTTGAATTATGATGAATGCTGTTAAAGTATTAATCATACATAGTTCATGTTAGTAAATGCATTAAGTAATGAACCTTATTGTAAAGTGTGACCAAATACATCAACTAACATTAACCGATCAGCCTGATCTCACGAGGAAACGTAAGTATTTTACGTATTGTTAGTTTAGTGGCTAATTCATGCGTGTTAAGTCGTACGAAAATGTACGATTTTAAAAAGGAGGCGTCACCTATACCCACACTTAACCCCAACCTTCATTGGGTGATGAGCAAATCGTACTAAATTGTACGAATTAGATCGTACTAATTCATACAAATTAGTCACTAACTCAAAAAGTTACAAATTGCCGTGAGATTGCGTTGAACCGATACAACCTAATAGGAAAATGTTACCAACATATTTTTATATATTGTATTTAAAAAGGTTGTTCATAAAAATTGAGGTTTCAGTTCTGTTTTAGTTTGTTTTTCTTGAGCACAAAATAATACATTTTGAAAAATGTTGGTACCAAACAAATGACTGTACATATTGACTTTCAATAAGAAAATAGTTGTTATCAATTCTCTGGTCACAGAAATTCTTCAAAAAAAAAAAAAAAAAAAAAACATGCAGGTTTAGAACAAGCGTAGTGTGAATAAATGAAATTGAGTCAATTGTCCTTTAAGCTCACCCCACATTACATTTCATAGTTTTGTGTTTGGTGTATTAGATTCAATGATTCTCCTTCACTGCATGACTCACTCTTGCCATCATCCACCAGAGCCTGGTTGTTCTTCATCCAGATGAGATCTGCTGCTGGGTTGGCGCTCTCCACCACACATTCCCCCAACTAAAACACACACAGAGACAGGGACAAAAAACATATTCTATGACTGTATCGAACTTGTCATCAGCAAGAATGTGGACTAGATTCAAGTCCTCAAACTATTCCAACTTTCGCTTTCATCTGTCTTCAACATCTATTTATAGACCATGATAAACAGCATGAGACCAAATGTGTCATTTGTATGCTGAACGCGAATTACACAGTTCAATGACTCTGGCACACTTTTGAGACTTTCCCTGATGATAGTTCATGACCCGAGCACTCCAGGTACTTTTGTCCCACTTCTCATGGATAAGTCCTGAGCTGGTGAGGCAAGGCACCTTGATACATTAATATATACATTTACATCATCAGTCCTTCCAAGATTTTGTGGGACTTTTTTCAGATTTATGCATTGTCTTTTCTCCAAGTTTGTGAAAACACATGTGAAAACATATTTGCTTTAAAGAAACGGTTTACTTCTAAACCCTAAACTTCCTATATCATATTTGATACAGTGCATTAAGGCAGGGGTCACCAACCCTGTTCCTGGAGAGCTAACTTCCTGCAGAATTCAGTCCCAACCCTGATCAAACACACCTGAACCAATTATTAGTACCTAAAGCAGCACTTGATAATTACAAACAGGTGTGTTTGGTCAGGGTTGCAACTGAAATGTGCAGGAAGGTAGCTCTCCAGGAACAGGGTTGGTGACCCCTGCATAAAGGTATCTAAACAACCAAAATGAACAAAACTCTCCTAATTAACAAATAAAAAACTATTAAATGAATATTATGTGGCATCATGGTGGCGCAATGGGTAGCATGATCGCCTCACAACAAGAAGGTCACTGGTTCAAGCCCTAGCTGGGTCAGTTGGCGTTTCATGTTCTCCCCATGTTCGCATGGGTTTCCTCCGGGTGCTCCTGTTTCCTCCACAGTCCAAAGACGTGTGGTACAGGTGAATTGATTGAGCTATCTTGGCCATAGTGTATGTGTGTGAAAGCAAGAGTGTATGGGTGTTTCCCAGGGGATAAGTTGGCGGTTCATTCTGCTGTGGCGACCCCTGATTGATAAAAGGACTAAGCCGAAAATGAAAATGAATGATTGAATGAATATTATATTTGTTTAGTCGTTCAGTATTGTACTTTAGGCCTATTAATTGCACTGCTAATCCTCCACAAATAAAATTGCAGAGCTTTTTTATTATCAATTGAAGCACTCAAATACAAGTTTGACATTTCACTCATCTTAAAATAAAGAAAAGTTGTGGGGAGATTTGAAACTATAAGTTATACATGTATCGATTTATACTTTCGTGCAAATGTCTGCTATACTAGTGTCTAGTAAAATACTAGTGTATACTAGTAAAATTGTGGCCAGGTGAATAACAAGTTCAACAAATAGCTGTTTTTGCCCAGGTTTTTTATTTATTTTTTAATTGCAAGCTTGTCTAAATTTTGCTTCGATTGCTTGATCTTGCCTTAAATTCTGTGATAGCAAAATTGGAAAGTCCTAAAAGGGACAGATCTGTGTGAGCTAAAATGGGCGGTGTTTAAACTCTCTCTAAACTTTCTTCTTCCTGCCCTTTTACTTCTCTCTGCTTGAGTAAAAACGCCGCCAGAGGCCGAGGAGGCTCTGCATTAATAACACGCTGACAGGATCACATGCTGACGAGCTTCTGCCCCGGGATAGAGAGATCAGCAGAAAGAGAGAAGGGTAATAATGGCAGGAAAGCAGAGCAGACAGCAGAATGATGCATGAGCTCAGGTGTTCAGGGTGGCGTAAGAAATCCAAGATTTAGGGGAAGCACGGACAGGGGTGGGGGAAATCGTCGTAGCGTGATTCCGATCTCTGATAACATGCCGGACCCTCCTCAGGAGCCAGACCATGATACATCACCTCTCAAGCGCATACTGCTGCTGAGGCCTGGAGCTTCACTGAGCCGTGACTGAGCACTTTCCTTCCTCCACTCTCTCTGGGGGATTCGCTCAGAATCAGCTCAGTCCGCTAATGGTGTTGTTAAATTACACATGCTTTCTGCATTGTTTTAGCAGTCCGTTTGAAGATATTAGTACTTTTGAGCATTGCCAATAGTAGGATTTAATATTTTAACTCCATTTATATTTTTCTATATCTTGTTTACATGTATGTTTCAGCAAAACATTTTAATATGTAATAGCACTGTTGGCACAGTTTATTTTCATTTTCAAGTATTTAATGTTAACATTTTTAATTAAGCTTCAATTAAATTTTGAGAAAGAAAAATAAACGCAAAGAAACTTGCCTATTAGGGCTGCACGATATTGAAAAAATCTGACATTGGGATATTTTGGTTTTCTCCAATATATATTGCAATATACTTTGTTATGCTTGGAAAGAATTTTTGATCAGACTTTATTTTAGGGTTCAGTTCTTGCACTTAACAAACCATTTTGACTTTTTGCTTCAATAAACTCCTAATTCGCTGCTTATTAATTGTTATTGAGGTAGTTTAAGTATTGGCTAGGTTTAGGGATGTAGAATAAGATCATACAGAATAGGGCTGGGCAATTTGGCCTAAAATCAAAATCTTGATTAATTTAACATTTAAACTCGATTATGATTAACAACAGATTATTTATTTATTTATTTATTTATTTATTTATTTATTTATTTATTTATTAATTTATTTATTTATTTGCCCTCATAGTTTACTTACAAGTTTTGTCACTTTGCCAAAAACATTGCCTTAAACAAACAGTCACTTTTTTCCTATTAAAAGTGAAAATAAGTAACTTGAACTTTTGGAAACAAAATTAATTATTTTCTGTGTTTTTCATAATAAAAGCAAAAAATAAGCAGCATCTCTTATTTATATATTTTATCTATAAATAAAATAACTTGTGTAACCTGTAAAAATTTTTAGCAGTGCATTTCTTACATCTTCTGTAAAAATATAAATAAAAAATTTAAAAAATGTATATATATATATATATATATATATATATATATATATATATATATATATATATATATTATATATATATGATAATTTTTTCAGGGATTTTAACCTTTAATGGATAGGACAGTAGTATTGACAGGAAATCGACTCTCCTTGATGCAGGAATTGACCTTAGGTCGCCGTGAGCACCGGAGTGCCATGTGTCAATGCTCTAACCACTGCGCCATCAGCGCTGACAGTAAACAAATATTTTATGTGAATAATAATTTTATTGTAATGGAAAATATGCCATCTGAAGGCATCTCTGGGTTAGCTTCTAATCATTGTCGATGTAGTGCAAAAGCGCAACTTTTTTTTTTGAAAGCAACCGCACGAAGCCTGTGCCAGACCATACGTGTGTGCTCGACGCAGAAGTATAAATCAGCATTTACTGAGCAAGGTCATGTGACTCTACATGCAGTATGGAAAGTAATTAAAAAAATTGCCCTGAAAAAGTTAGATCGATTATAGATTCTGAATGATTCTGAATTTTGATTACTTTTCTAATAAGCGCCCAGTCCTAATACAGAATATGTGCTTTACAAGTACTAATAAGCAGCAATAACATTTGTGCTAATAAGCAACTAGTTAATAGTGAGAATTGGTTTCTAAAGTGTTAGCGAATGTATTAATTTTGATTGACTGGGATGATTCTGTAGGGGACATAGCATGTAAAAAACAAACTACAGGCAAAGATAAAATTAAAATAAACAGTGCATGCATTATAATTTTATCAACTCAACTCAACATTCCATATTTTTGCGATGTGACTATTGCGGATGCAAGGTAGCAGCTATTCTTCCTGGGGTAATAATCAATAGTAATACACATATTTTCTAGTATAATGTAGTAATAATATTTTATATATAATGTAGTATAATGTAGTATAATAGTTTCTCATTAAAAAAGGATTAAAATTGGGCTACATGTTCTTTTTCAATTAAATAATTCATTACATATTTTAAATGGTCAATCAGACTTAAAACAGTCAATAGTTTGAGGAATTTATACTTTATTTTTTTCTGTGACCATACAGATTCACCTCTGTCACAATATTTTCTGTGACCATACAGATTCACCTCTCTCACAATGTTTTCTATGACCATACAGTTTCACCTCTGCCATCTAGACTTCAGAATTCATGACAAAATCCCAAAAGATAAATAAAAAAAACAGATCTATGCTTTATTAATGTGACTCTCCTTCACCTTTTGTTGAATAACCGCTGACATGTCAGAGTAAAATGTACAAAAACAACTTTTTAATACTATCCTACAAAAATAACACACCTATTTAATATATTCACCCTTCTCTTTCTAATTTCCTCTTCCCAGAGACCTTCAGCCTCCCTGCATCTTTTCAAGACAAGTAGCTGTTTTAAATGCTATATATTCAGCGGAGCCGCTCTTTCTTCCGTGCCCTTCCCCTCTCTCAGTCTAAGCAAGTCTCGGCACTTTGAACACCGCAGACCTCAGTGGGTGGCCATGAAAAAAAAACAAAAAAAAAACACACAGTCCTATAATGCTGTACACACAACACCAGCCTTCCCCACCCTACACCTCCGCCTCAACCAGACTCTAAGATCCTACATTAAAAAAAGGAGAGGAGAAAAAAAAAATACCCCCTCCGCCCCCCAACTCCATTTACAAACACCAGTCAGAAGGACTGCGTGGGATGCCTGGTATGTGCTCCAAGTAGTGCAAATCAAAGAACCTCCTCTTCTCATGCAACCAAATAATATCACTGCGGTCCTCTATTTGAGATGCAAAATCTAGAGAACATTAAAGTGTGTATTTCCTGTATAGCTGTGGGTGGCAATGGCTCGAGCACTGTCTAAATCAGGTGTGTACGCCCTACAAACGCGTTCGCTGATGTCCGTATCATTAGCGCAGTCTTTGAGCCGCCTCTGACTGTGATAACAGCAGGTGTGTGTCAATGTTGAGACTACTGGAGAGGCACACTGGGTAATGAAAACAAAGGCTTGGTTTGATCTTGCACATTGTTAGTATACACTAAGCTGGTTGGTGTACTGGAGCAAACATTGTATAGGGGAAATAAAAGCAGCAGCGGAAGCTCAGGGTCTTAAAGGGAAAAGTGTGACTCACCTGCGTCAGTTTGCCATTTTCCAGTTCTTTCACTTTGTTTTTGATTACAGGGGCTGATGGTTTTTCTGCAATGAGAGATAAAGCATCATTGCGTTGAGTGTATTTGGTAAAGCATATGTATAGGATGCTTGGTAACACTTTATTTTCATGGTCCATTTGAGTATTAGTAGACTGTCTGCTTAATGTTGATACTGCTCCATCAACAGACCTTTTACTGACTATAAGAAACTTAGCAAGTACATGTTAACTTACACTAACCCTAACCCCAACCTAACAATCTACTTAAAACCTAATGAGAATTAGTTCCAATCTAACTTAAATTCAACAAACGGACCATCAAAATAAAGTGTGACCGAATGCTTACTGTAGAAATCATTCAACTTTAACTAAATATTATCAAATAAATACAAAGGCAAAGTTTATAGTGATTTTATGTAACACGACCAACATGAAATTACGATTAAATCATTTACTTACTCATTTATTTACTCTCTTACAATGTGAATCATTTTAATAGAATATTTGAGTCAGTTATTAAATCAATAATTTATAAAGACTGCCATCTGCCTAATTTCCAAACAAATGAGCCATTTTGAAGGATTAAATAAAGCCAAATAGTCAATGACTATGTTTACATGGACATCAGTAATCAAATTATTTGCCTTAATCTGAATAAGACAATACAATAATTAAGGTGTTCACACGAGTTGCTTTTTGAATGATCCCTTCATGATCCTGAATTACATGCTATAGCACATAATTCAATTAACACCATTGCATCACCACTTTATCCACATTTCCTCCAGTGTTTCATGTAATTTCGAGTGTTTCATTTTTCATTTGTCAACTTTAACTGCAGTTTGGCACTTTCATTTTCATTCAGGAACATTTCATGCATGCCCCCCGTGACAAATGAGACATTGGATGCGAGTATGAACTGCTGGATGCAGGTGTCTGAGGTCCTTTACTGACTCTGAGAATAGTGTCATACAGCTGTGTGTGCATAGACTATCCTGTCGCAAAATGCAGTAAAAAGTCTACACAATGGTAAAGTTTAAGTAAGATGTTTACATGTCTGTACTGCACTTCAATAATACGACTAAAACTGGCATCCTCCACATGACTGTGACTTTAGTCTGATTAAGGTAATCAAAAATTGCTGTTTACATCAGATTATTGTTTTAATCATATTCAAATTGGAATATCGGTGTCCATGTAAACATACTCAATGTCACTTGATTTGTTCCTATACGAATCAACCATTTCGAATAATACAAGTGAGCCAACGATTTAGTGATCCATCCATAAAGACAATCACTTGCTTTATTTCTAAATTAATCAACTATTTTTAATGTATCATTCATGAATATACTCTACTCATAAGGACTGATTGATATTACATACAATCTACCCACACCACCAACCAACTTTTCCAGTTGTATTACAGCTAAAACCAGAGCACTGAGACTAATACTCTATCCCAAAATGCAGTGCCCTTCATTTGGCCTTCCATTTCCAGTGTGACGAACGCAGTAGAAGCAATAACCACCACACTTTTTAACTTTTCCTTCTGACTCATTTTTGATCGAACAGAAGTTGGATGTATAAAAAAGTTAATACCTTTATACACACTTAAAAATAATGAGCATGCAGTATATACTGCTTAGCATGCACAATCCATATCCAACCTCATCAGGTCTTTCTGATCTATGGAACACAGTGTACTATATCAATATCATTCCTCTGGTATCAATCTGAAAAAGCACGCAACTAGATCAAGGCTTCAAAAATGGATCACACGTTATTCTCTGCCATATCTGACATCTTCACACCCACTTTCCAATACAATTTGAGATCTGACGCTTACATTCGGTTTCATCATAGACTAAAGCAGTGCTTGAATTTCCTTATTCTCTATGATTTGCTCTTATTTTTGTGGGTCTCACTCTGTGTGTGTGTGTGTGTGTGTGTTTAAGCTATGCTTACTGTGAACTTTAACTTCCACAGAGAATTCCTCCAGATTAGTTGAAGACACCACCATGCAGGTGAAGACTCTCTGGTCAGTCAAAGAGCCCTGGGCAATTAGTAAGCTGGAATTAGCAGCGATGCTAACTCTAGTTTTGTAGCCATCCATGGCAGACACAGTCGGATCATCTTTCTGTGCCTGCTTTATTAGTAGATCGCCAGGGGAGCCGTCATCTTTCACCTGAACGAGATAACGGGCCTGTTAGCAAACTGACAAACACATTTGGCACTTATTGAGATTGAATTAGAAATCAATATGATGATGAGACTAGTCGTATATTGCTTGGCTACCCGGAATGGCTAGCACGGCAGAGTAATGGCCCAGATGCTTAGCAGGGCAGGAAGAAAAACACTCACATATTTCCATTTGGTGAAAATAAGGCCATCTGGCTTGTTATTTCCATTGTTGCATGGCACTTCGATGGTCTCACCGTACAGACCTATAACCGTCGGCAGGCAGCTCCCTGGAAAATACAAGACAAGAACATCCTGTTTTAGATGCCGGCTTGGTATCAAACAGAGCGGCTGTGAAGCATCGGCAGAAATTACTGTCAAATGCGACACGCGCGCGTACACAAACATCAGGGCATTATCTCGACTCCAAAACAGAGCAACAAGAAATGGGAGGGAGGATATGCGGCTGAGGTCTTGTTTTGATTATTCCCAAGACATGTGCACGTTATGCATCTTAATTTTAAATTAGACATGTTCGCTTAATGCAGTGAATTACGTCGCTGCGACAGCTTTTCAACACTGGTGTGGTGAAGTGAGCATGGATGTATGCATAATTGTTTAGGCGTTAGAGTGCACATTTAGGCATGGAGTAAATTGACAGACACGGAAGCCCAACACTGTCATCATGAATGATACATTGCATGGCATAATTTCACTGCCAACACGACAACGTTGTTTGTCACTTGTGCCGGTGAGAGCTGTCTTACACCGATAAGTGCCAACAATCAGAAACAGTCGATCATAGTCAGATGTGCAAAAAGGGTTAGCGTTGCAAAATGGGATACACTTTTTTTTTTTTTTTTAAAGATGAGTTTTATTGAATTTTTTATAGATTCATAAATAAACTTTTACATTTTTGACAGAAATTTACACTTGACTCTTCTGGGAACCAATTTATAGTTTTTCTATATTCTTTTTTTTTTTTTTTAAATAACAGTTTCCTTTTTTTTTCTTTTTTTTTTTTTGACATTTTTGGGTTCATGAACATTTCTAACATCCAAAAAACTTAACTGCAAAAAGGTATATTTTAAATTATATACAGTCAAGTCAGAATTATTACAGTAGCCCTCAGTGAAAGTATATATTTTCAACACATTATTAAACATATAGTTTGTTCTACAGACTTTCAAAAAAAAAATATATAGCTTAAAGAGGCTAATAATTTTAACCTTAAAATGTTTTCTAAAATATTAAAAACAGCTTTTAGTCTAGCCGAAATAAAACAAACAAGACTTTCTCCAGACAAAAAACAGAATCAGAAATACATTGAAATATTCACATATATATCAAACATCATTTGGGAAATATTTATAAAAAAAAAAAAAAAAAAAAAAAAAAAAAAAATATATATATATATATATATATATATATATATATATATATATATATATATATATTTTTTTTTTTTTTTTTTTTTTTTAATGAGAAATGGAAATGTTCTATGATTGTTATACATCATACATGGTAATAAAGAAAAATTTACTTAATGTTATTTAGTATCCATCCAATGTAGTTTGAGTACTGGTTACCAGCCTAGTTCCAAATCAATTTTTTTGTATTTTGACACCAATGCACCAGATCTAAACCAGGAAAAGTGGTTCGTAAGTAGCACCAAATGATTGCTGGGCTAGAAGAAATTAAAACTACTTGCCTCAGGGACTGAGGGTGGGGTTACAACAAGATGAATAGAAACAGATTTGAGGGCCATATTTGAAATAGTTGAACAAAATGCTGAACACATTATAACCTCTAAACTCTGTGTATTTAAAGTACAACATGTTGCATGAACATGTTGTTCTCCCTTGTATTCTTGGTCTACAAGTTACGACGCACTGCATGAACATGTCACTATTGCTTGTAATCTTTGTCTATGCAAGCTATGGCACACTGCATGAACATGTTGGATTAGTGATGTTTGGGTGCCAATGTAGGTTTGCAAACATTATATTGACATTGATAGCAACACATCACTGATGCTGCATTTGTATTTGTTGCTGGGAAAGATGAGATGCATGCAGTGATGTCAGACCTGACTCTGCAATGGCTCTCTAGCCAGTGAAAAAGCATGGCATGTCTTGATTTTTCTTCTTATATTTGTTCATTCATTTCCCTTCGGCTTAGTCTCTTTAATCATCGGGGTCGCCACAATGGAATGAACCACCAACTTATCTAGCATATGTTTTACACAGCTGATGCCTTTCCAGCTGCAACCCAGCACTGGGAAACACCCATACACTCACATTCACACACATCCACTACGGACAATTTGCCTTACCCAATTCACCTATACTGCATGTCTTTGGACTGTGGGGGAAACCGGAGCACCGGTAGGAAACCCACTTGAACATGGGGAAACATTCAAAATGCCAACTGACCCAGCCAAGGCTCAAACCAGCGACTTTCTTGCTGAGAAGCGACAGTACTAACCCCTGAGCCTCTTTTTTATTTATTTATTTATTTTTTTAATGACATAAATAATTAAACAAATAAATATATGGCATTAATAAATTATTACAATAGGATTATAACACTAATGGGCAGGATGGTAACACAGTGGGTAGCATGATCGCCTCACAGCAAGAAGGTTGCTGGTTTAAACCCCGCCTAGGTCAGTTGGCTTTTCTGTGTGGATTCTGCATGTTCTCCCTGTGTTTGCGTGGGTTTCCTGCAGGTGCTCCGGTTTTCCCCACAGTCCTAAGTGATTTGGTAGAGGTGAATTGAATAAACTAAATTGTCTGTAGTGTTTATGTGTGAATATAAGAGTGCATGGGTGTTTCCTGGTGTTGGGTTGCAGCCAGAAGGGCATCTGCTGCGTAAAATACAGTATATGCTGGGTAAGTTTGTGGTTCATTCTGCTGCGATGACCCCAGATTAATAAAGGAACTAAGCTGAACAGAAAATGAATGACTGAATAACATCAATAGTCATTTTACAGCTTTTGCATAAAACAACTTTTGTTCTCCAAAGAACCTAGCAGTCAAAAATCGAATGGTACTGGCAACTGTTCACTCATAGTTTCTTTGGGAAACACAAAAAAATCTTCTTCTGTTGCATCACTGTGAAAACCCCTTTCAGAACATTTATTTTGCAACAGTTCCTCAGAATGGCTTTTTATTAATGCCTGGTGAGGTTGCCTTAGCAATGAGGCCCCATGTTCTCTGGCACGATGGGTTTAGGTAAAGCAGTATAGAGGGTTGAAAGGTCAAGGCTGAAGAGTCTTCACGGTCCACCCACTTCCATCAGTGCTCCGTCTCCAAGAGAGACTAATCAAAGGGTCTGAACATCGAAGGTTCAAGTTCTGGTCAAAGCGAAGACGCAAGCTGTTGGCAAGCGATCTTCCGCACACAGTTAGCCTTGCCTCCAGGGCAATCGTTCCCCATTTTCACAACTTTTCATTGTGATAGCAGTTTTAATATTGACCGAGTGGCTGCACTGCAGAGGATAAAAGAGCTGATAAGCAGAAACCCCAACAGTGATATAGACACGCACTTGAAAACACGTACACACTCAAACCAATTCAGCAGAATAGGTCATTTTGAACCACAGAACACAGACTAATCTGCACAGAGACTACATTTCACAGCACTTTCCAACTTGAGCAATACAGGCATTAAACAAGCGATCAATATTTATACAATGGTTGAATTGTTGAATGAAGTGATATTTCATCCAAAAAAAAAGGGTTTCTCTAAACCTGTATGCTTTTATTTTTCTGTTGGTTTTTTTCTACAGCAGCTGTTTTCAGCTCAAAATAAAAAGTAATTATAAAAAAGTGTAAAATAAGAATGTAAAGTGAAATGAAAATAGGAAATTAAAAGAAAGTTACTGTTATAAAACATAAAAAGTTTGAGATTTTCATTTTAAAGCCACAGATGTAAATAGTCACCTTTGGGAAATAAAGTCACTTTATGGTGGCTTGAAAAAGCCTCATCTGAATGTTTGAAGTAGTTTCAAAGGTTTCAACTGATGTAGTTTTTTGAAAAATTGAAGCCGTTGGCATAGATAGATAGCTATGTATATGTTTATACTATTGCATGTTTATACTATTGATTGGCATGTTTTTTGCTAGGTGGTTGCTAGGGTGTTGCTAGGTGGTTGCTAGGATGTTATATGTGGTTGCTAAGCTTAGGTATTGCTAGGTGGTTGTTATGGTGTTCTGAGTGGTTACTAAGTTGTTGCTAGCATGTTTCTAATATAAACTTTAATCAAAGAGCTTAGAACGAACAAGAGGCGACACTCAATAGACCATTCCATTGCAACAGCAGCGCCCAGCAACAGCCCTGGATTCCGCCATTTTGGAGTGAAAGTGATCAGCCATCCAATGGATCTCATTACTGTCGCGATGGCAAGAGGCTGCTTTGTTTTTTATTCATTTAGTCAAAAAGCCCATTAAAGTTGAGATACAACCTGAAAGACGACAATACAACACTTATCACAATCATCAGCACTTTTAATAGTTTATTTTACAGACTTATAACATGCTGTTGTTCTATAAGAGTTTTCATTCCAAAATGGCCACCGCGCCCTCTAGTGGCTGTTTCCCAAATTACATTAGAGTGTCGCCTCTTGGTCATTCTAAGCTCTTTGCTATAATGTTGTTAGCAGGGTATTAATATGAATTAGCATGTTGCTAGCATGTTTTAGTTTGAACTAGCATGTTGTTAGCATAATTTTAGAATGTTTCTAGTACAGATTGGTATGGCGTATGTATTTAGTATGGATCGGTATATTGTTAGTATGGATTGGTATGTTTTTAGTCTGTCCAATGTGAAGTCAATGGCAGTTTTTTTACAATGAAAGTCTATGGGACAGTTGCTAAGGTGCTGTAAGTGGTTGCTAGGGTGTGGCTAGTAAGTTGAAAGGTGATCAGTGATTGGCAGATTGGTAGTCTGAGTTAAATAAGCATAACCATAAGTCTGTATAACAGTTTGGCGCAAAAGTATGAGCCCACAAATTTCAGTCCAATCTCAAGTCTATTAAACTTTTCCAATCGGATCAGTTGGAAAAGATTTAGCAACTTAATTCAGGATACTTCAGAGGTTCGGAGTAAGTTTGGTGGTTGTAGTATGAATGGTCAAGGAGGAGATGCGTTCTTAAAATAGTCTAAAGAGAAGAAGGAAGAATATTAAGTTTATGTAGTATACCAGTAAGTTGGTTTTCTCAAGCCACCATAAAAATAAAGCCAAGTTGTGCAATGTTAAACTGCAATCATGCAATATAGTCAAATAGTACAAT